TCGTGCATGGAGTTGGCCTTGGTAAAGATTGGGGCTTCGAAACAAATGGGCTAACAAATCGTATCAGTTGTTATCTACCATCAAAAGGCAAATGGGAGAGTCTCACCGTTATTCCACACATCGAACAATGTACGTACATTATTAAATTTCCCGAAAGAACGAATCAGCTTAAATTGATCATATTTCTATATTATTAGGCAACTATGGTACAGCAGTGCTGGGCAACGATTTGTATGTAGTAGGGGCTCATATGATGTCTGTCTCAAGGAGTATATACATCCATTTGGCTTTCGTTACTGTCCCGCCAAGAATAAATGGAAAAGTATTGCGCCAATACAAGCGGACCGTTGTCGTTTTCCCTAAATGCCATGGGTAGTCATTTTCTATATGCGGGGCGGAGTTTGTGAGCTAAACGAAAATGATGGCGGCGCCGAACTGTGGGCACACGATATGACAGTTTCAAATTGTGAACGTTACGATGCCAATACCGATCGCTGGGAGTACTTGCCTGCGTTGTCGGAAAATCGTAGTCAACATGCGGGTGTTGTCTTGGGTGATCAGTTGTATATATCGGGTAGGTGAAATTTATAAGGCTATAGGCTTTGTAAACATATTTAAGTTTTTGCTTAATACACTTGCAGGTGGCATAGACCGGCACATTGTACTTGCCTCACTTTGGAGATTCGACACGAAATCTAACACATGGCATAAACTCTGCCCAATGCCAACACCTCGCGCCGATCATGTGCTTATTGTTTTCGATGGTCGTATATATGCGTTCGGCGGTTGGTATGAGGATCCAGTGACTGAAATGCGAGTATTAGCTGATGCGGTGATGTATATGACGTAACAACCGACCAATGGATAACAGAATCACGAAATCCAATGCCTAAGTATTACACCGGCGTAGCAGCTGTCAAACGAAAAGTTTACTTTATCGGCGGTTTACTCTCAACGGCAACCATTAATCGCGCCACATCCGCGTACAGTCGTACGACTTGGACACACAGCAATGGGCCTTCAGTTCGGAGTGGGAGTATCCAAAGGAGTGTGGAAAGTACTTGTGGCTTTTTATGTGCCACGGAACGTGATAATGTAAAGTACTACTGGGACGATGGTGAGCAAGCAAGAATTATTTAATTTTGGTAGTGTGGTAGTCAGAAATAAAGATATGTGTTTAAAGCTTATTAAAAAAAAAAAGAATTAAAATGAGCACTAAAATAATTATTTTTATTATTACCAATTTTGCAAACTTTTTAAAATTACCTCATGAAATTATATTTTTACCCAAGCGAAATTAGACCAGTGAAGGTACGTAAAAACGTAGAACTCAAACTGAATTAAATGTTTCAAAATAAATAGTAATATATGAATTTGTGATCTATAGCGTTGCTGCGTTCGTACATATGTATATATATTTAAAGAAAACACACGAAATCTAAGTGCAATTTGTTCAGAGAGCATACATCGAAAATAACAAAGAATCTCAAAATTAAAAGTAAAAAATTATAACTTTTATGAATTTTAGAAAATTCAGCTTGTGGAAAATTTTATTTATTACTGCCTTTAGATTTATCCTCACTCATTAGAATTAATGTGTTCGTTAACACCTCCGCGGAAAGTAAATCATCTGCATAAGCATCGGATAACCGCAACTTCAACATTTCTTGCTTAATCATTTCATCTTTCAACATCCGGTAGTAGACCGAAGCAATCGAGTTCGGTTCAGGTTCTGCATTCCATTTGGACTTAATGGCATTCAGCGCACACGCACCGATTTGATAAAATTGTACCTTTCCAAAGATACGTCGTGTCAGCTCTGGCTTTAGATCAGTTTCTAAACAATATTCCAGTACTATTTCGAGAACTCTTTGTTCTGAGCAATCCACCGGGTAATTACAAGCGAGTACATGTTCAAATTGATCCAATGTGAGACTTAATAAATCCGGTGTTTGCGCAAACTCATCAAGTCTTGAACACATGTAGCGGTAGGCCTTCTTTTTGAGGGGCTCCAGAGAGTACAAGTCCGCCAACGCAGCGATTGCAACACAATTATCCAAATCAATTTGTGACTCAAGAAAATGTGAACAGGCGTCAATGGCCGCTTTCATCTGGATGTGCGTCGATACAGATAAAACATCTTGCACATTATTTCGATCTAATTCCAATTTTGATGTGTAGGCATATTCCAGCAGCAGCTCCATACCATGAGCGTTAATACCGTTAAGTTTTATTTCAGATTGATGAGCTTCCCGCATGGCATCCGTGAACATGGCGCAAAAGTAATCACTACACGCCGCCAATACAACACGATGAGCCTAAATAAACATGGTTTTAATATTAATTGTATTCAATTTATTTTACATCCGTAAAATGAGAAAAGGAAAAGAAATGAATCAGGTCATACCTTAAACATACGTCCTTCCACAATCAGAGTAACATCGAATAGTTTTTCCGCACAACGTAACGCATTAAGGCCCCTCATCAACGCTTCGGAATGTATAATTTGCATAAAATTATCATTATTTGCATTACGGGAATATGTTGGTGATGAACAAACTGTGCATGTTGGGTTAGCACGGCTTTCGGAGCTACCCTGCGATATGGAAGCAACGCCACCGGCCATCCTTACTGACGGTAAAATTAAAAAGGCTTCAAATCATTCAAGATGTTACCAGCACGACCCTTCTTTCAACTTATTTTACTTATTTATAATAATGTATGTAAAGCACTATAATACAAAGTGGAACTGTTGCAACAAGAATAGATACTGACTTTTAATGTCTGTGAAAGTAGTTCACTATATGGACACCAACGTATTTAGGTTTGATGGTGTGCTACTTGTGATGTCATTGACAGCAATTATTATTTTTCTATAAACACTTCCGCTTATTCGTTGCGAATTTGTTGTTATCTCCAATAGCTAAAGTCTCTTATCTCTTAAGCCAGCAAAAAATCTTCGCAATTTACCACCCCTCTCCTCTTAATTTGAATTAATAATTAATTATAGATTCTCGTATTGATGTTGCTAACGAATATCAAGGTTGGGGAATCCACCGTTAACATACATCTACACATTACCATCAATGCGAACGTTATGTGAAGCGTTTCCTCTGTTTTTTAGTAGACTTCAATGGAAATGATAATTTATTACTAGTTACAAATATTATTTATCCAATTTTTTCTATAAAATCAAAACCATAGCGACAGGCATATGGTATGTACATATATACACATTTTTTATGAAAGTCACAAACTACAGGATGATTAATTTTTCACAAGCCCTGATCAAAAAGTTGATGTTTCAAGAATAATTGATGTATTTTCGCAATATGTAGATGTGCAAAAAAGAAATTAATTTTTTTAAATTGGAATACAAAAACAATGCATAACTTTTATCAGGCAACCATCTTTTCCAATAAGAACATAACGATATTTTTTACAAAATAATTTATTTTACTATTGTAGTATTACTCTTCAAACAGTATGAACGACAAAATTTATAAACTGTGAAACGGCTGCAACTTTCATACAAAAGTGGTAATATTTTTCCGCGAACGTGTATAAGATAAGGAAATGAAATTGACAAATATTAGACAATATTTGATTGGATAAAAAAGATCGTAATGACGTTTGAGGCCGAAATTGAAATAGTCGAAATTGCAAAATGTCAGGTGAGAACTCACAGGGTAACTCAGATTCTGTAAAAATAATAATTGGATAAATAATGATATATCATGATATACGTTCTCTGAACAAACTACAAGACAATCTAATTAAATTTGCAGAACGCATATCAGAAACAGCATTCATAAAAATTCGCAAAATGATATTCATATCAATAAATATGATTGCATATAAACGTATAAAAATATAAGCCAAAAGGCTAACATGCAGCTGTAATATCAAAGCAAGTCTTTGGGCATAATTTTCATACAATGCTCAGCTCTGTTCACTCTCCACTGTTAAAATTTCTCCTTCCGAGCCAAAAGTGGTGAAATCCTCTATTAAAATCTTGTTAGGTTTTGACAATTCACACGCTGGTCCGCAATTGAACCTTCTCTATGATGTACGTTCTCTGCCTTCTCTATGATATACGTTCTCTGCGCATATTTACAAATTTTAACCCAATAAACACTTTTTCCCGAAATAGATAAGGACAATATTGTATACAAACAATACTAGTACTTTATCACGAAAAACAATTTACTTACAATATGTTGGAAAATAGCGGATATCACATCTAAATTGTTTTTAATTTGTGTTTGCAAGAAAGCTTCAGAACTTGTTTGATGCAGAGAACGTATATTATATATACATAAAATAAATTATTAATATATATACGTTCTCTGTTTGATGTTCTTGCACTTTCTGTAAATGTTTATTCTCAATCCTACACCTCTCTTTCGTAAACAAGATTATCTGTGGTCAGCGTCTTGCAATTATCGTGGCGTTGTTGTGACACTTATTTGTTATCTATTGAGTCAGTGTTACAATTTTACCTAAAAGTACGCTTTCGAATCTGACATAAATGCCTACCAATACAGCCCTGTTGTTGTTAATTTTGTTTTAACAAAACTTCCTCAGTTTGTCGTCGAAATTGAATGTATTAAGAAGTGTTTGAAATTGTTTAAATGTGTTTTACTGTTTGCTGTCTTAATTTGAAGACATAATTATATCCCGGCTTTTTTTCACAAAGTGTATTTAGTTTTTAAAATTTTTATTGTATTAGGTTTGTTTATAACAGTCTCAACAAAAATTAACTAATTATTATTTTGTATTTGAAACAAAGCAAGTATTTGTTGGCTTACGAAGAAAAAGCCAAGAAGACGCACCGCTTGAATTTGAAACATGTAGAGAAAATCTCTGCAGCGAAGAATGCCTCACGAAGGCATAAAGACTGGTAGCCGAAAGTGTTGAAACAGCAACGTCAACATTTTTCATTTTTTTTGTGCAATTTAAGTGACCACAAAATTTCTTACTAAGTTCAAAATAATTTGATAAGAAACCAGTGGTAAAAACTAATTAGACATACCGTTTGAAAAATTTAAATAATTCGTGCGGTAATACCTAACGTGCATAACAAAAACTGTTTATTGGTGATTCTGTGCTTATTTCATATTTTCTGGATAAAGGTGGGATGCTTTTGTTCACCCGTAAAAACTCTACTTGTCGAACTGGTTTTTAACTTTCTTCGCCGAATTAAGCGATACATAAATACGCACTACACCAACGTAAGCGACAGCAATGGAACACCAACAGAATTCCTTGGTTAGTACATATAAGTACCAGTAAAATAAGTCTGGTGTCAAAGAAGTCTCTAATTAGTCAGTCAGTGAGTTTTAAGACGACAAATCATTTTTATCTTAATGTTTGGAATCTCAGCGGGCAATAAAACAGGCAGCACCATAAAATTGCTTAATAGCAAACAGTGGAGGTAAGGTTAACATAAGCGCACACATTATATTTGATCTTATAAAATATTTATTTATACGGAATTGTTTACAGATATGTAAAACAAAAATTGCCCTCAACATAATTAACACTTTTGATACAACAATATTAAATTCATATGTATCAAAATTATAATGTGACTATGTGAGCAATTTAGAAATCTTTGTCGAAATAGTTTTAAAAAAAATATTATTTGATAAAAAAAATTATCCATGGTATTATTTCACAATTTCTTTAATTCTTTATCGTTAATGGCATTTTATCTGTTCAATCTTCCTAATAAATTAATATGTTGAGGAAAACACTAGGAAAAAATAGAATAGAATAACTAAACGTCTAACGGTAAGTGATTCAAGATTAAATGCAGAACAAGGTCAAAAACATCATATAAATAAGTTAATTACTTTCGAGCAAGTTAAAATGAACGCAATAGTCATGCTGATCGCAAATGATCGTCACGTTTTCCGAAACTACAAAAAAAATCAAATCAAGAACTAATGTTCCGATTAATTGAGAAATAAATTCATTACTTAAATTTAGATTAAATCGACCCTCTAATTTTCTCATTAACTAACAAGCAATAGCTGTTCGTTTGTAAGTGGCGTAAGACCAGAAGTTGGAGCACGAATAATTTCATCGGAAAAGGTAATAAGCCAAGCAAAGCAAAGACAACCTGCTATTTTTTCTTGTTGCTGCAACCAGTAAACGGGTTTTTGTCGAAGAAGATAAAGAAACATCAAACTCCTGCTGTTGCTTGTCAATAAAAAAAAGTGTTGTGATACCGAGTGAAGCTAGTTATGTTGAGGCCAGCTTTTTCAGTACTGAATTCGATATAATATTAACCAAACCCACTACATATAAATTTAGTGTACGTTTTTGCATGGAAATACTTATTTATAGAATATACTTGTATTATATGAAACTTGATAGGCCTCTGCAAGGTGCAAACGAATTTTGACTCGCTCCATTGAGTTTAACAAACACTTGTTTTTAAATAAGTAATGATCATATTAACGCTATTCTTTATTCAATACTGACCAATTTTATATCAAAATTAGTAATATATGTATTTAATTACGTTTTTGTCAACAAAACTTGATACCCTTCATGAAACTTGTTTGAGTTTAAGTTCAATATTATTAATATTGTATTTATAAATTGTCAACAGCATACTTAGATTGAAATTGGTCTTTTGTTTTGTTTATATGTATGAACATATATATATATCGGACACATTTATTTACATACATATATAGACATAGAGCTGAGAATAGGCATGGTAAAGCATTTCCATATTGAGTCTTTGTTTGTGTGAAGCAACGAATTAATAAATAATAAATATGTACATACATATATACATATATATATGTGCAAGTATAGCTATACTCGCACAATCGATGGTAAATTGGTATCGTCACTATTTTATAATTGACCTGTGTTTGTTGAGTATTTAACCTACAAAGTGTTTATAAGATTTTAGTTTGGGTAACCAAATTCAAAACTGGTGTAATTTCAAAATTTTTTGCATTACAGAGTAAAACTATGAATTCCACGATTTACAATACACAAACAAAGAGTGCTAATAATTTAGTCTCCAAAAATAACAGAACTGTGTTTAAAAAATTGTAGTCAATTAGTATATCAGTAATTCACTTAAGTGATTAGCACAAATGTACATATACATATGTATGTACATATATACAAACGTTTGCAATAAACAAATGAATACGCATACATAGATAAACGGTTTTTATTAATTATCGTAAAACGTTAATGTATGTTTGTAGACGTAAACGAAACCAAATTTAAGCTCGTCGTCGTCTTCATCTTCTGTTTAGTCGATGTTGTTGCTGTTCATTTTCTCGATAACGTGTTGATTGTAATTGTTTGCTCTACCGGTCCAGACCAGATCATGCGAACAGTAAATACTCGTACTTACAGTGCCGCTAGCAAAATAGCTTTAAAACTTATAAGAAATAGCTGAATATTACAGCATGCTTAGATATTGATCATCAACTTCATTGGTGAACACTTTGAATTGTTAAAAAAAAAACATAAAAAAAGAATAAATGGTTTTTTATACTAAAATAACAAGAATTAAAATTTGTTACACATTAATATATACAATATATTTTTTATAACGGGATTGTACAGTCATTATATTGTTATATTTTGTACTAAATAAAAAATTAACGTCTTTTTTAAATACGTAAGCACATCTTCTCACGTACATATATTCTTGCGAAGAACGATACTGTGGCTCTTTCAATTGGTGTCTCGTTATGTGCAACTAGAATGTAGATACAAGCGTACATATGTACATAGTATGTAAGTAAATACTATATTCGCATTTATTGCCACGACGAATGACACATACACATGTACCTATGTATGTATATTTTTCAACAACACAGATATGAAAATGCAATAAATCTCGACTGACAAATGGACATTTACTTGAATGCATTTTCCCCAGATCGCAATGGCATCGCTGATTATAATTAATAATTTATGAAACTTACGTATGCACATATGTATGTATGTATAAATATATATATATATACGAGTAAAAATTCAACAAACTAACTTATTAATATAAAAGATAAAAAAGCATATGTATATGAAAAACTCCAAAATTCTAGAGTGACAAGACGAAAGCAAGAAATGGTTTTATGATTGAAAAATTTTAGTCTTTCAATATTTTGTTGCGTATCCCTTATTTGTCAGTACAGCTGCACATTGGCGAGGACTCAGTAAATTTATTTAATGTGTTGTCGGAAATGCTTTTTCATGCTTCCTTTATTTGTATGAATAAAGCGTCACGTTCTCGTCTAATTTTTCGATCTACAATTTTCTATAGATTCTCTATGTCTCAATCCTGTTATCAACAACCCACGGATTTTTTCATCATTCTGAAGAATATTTTTATACATGAATCTGCCCATTATGCCATTGATATGATGAATTGGCCCTATTCCATGACCTGAAAAACAACCCCACAATAATACATTGCCTCCACCGTGTTTCACCATGACTGTTGTATACGTTGTATAACGTTGTCCGTTCGGCCTGCGTACCAGCTTTAACCCTTCTGAACCTTTCATATTGAACTTCGATTCGGAAAGAAGTATAGTTCGCCATTTTGTAATCGTCCAATTTATGTAGATCTTCGCAAATTGCAGACGCGCCAGTCTGTTTTTTCAAGTCATGTACAGCTTTCTTGCACTCCTGTAGCATGAAAATCCACCTTGAACAGCTCGATCCATACAACATAATATTTAACCGGCAATTGCCTTGCAATAGATGTTGCAGATATAAAAAGGTTATTTTTTATTGCCCGAATGACTGCCTTATCCTCTCGTTCGGCTTAATGTTTGGGAAACAATAGCATGATTTATTTCAAACTATAGTCAAAACCGATTCTTTTAAAATCATTAACAATTTTTTCTCTAAAATGAGCAGAGTACTTACTTATTTCGACCAACCTCATTGAATACCGATTTACAACTGAATATGCACTATTTTTTTTCTATTGTTAGGGAAAAAATTAATGTGTACAGTTAGAAATCAAAGCCATGTGCTTTAGTTTTGTCGCATCAGAATTTTGGAGTTTTTCATAAATGAATTTTAATTTTTTTGTATTAAGTTAATTTATTTAATCTTTACTAATTTAAAAATAATAATGAATACCCAAATAAAAAAAATAAAAATGTACTTTCGTTTTGTCGCACACTGTATATGTATACCATATATGGTTTATCTATGACATATATGGTAAATGATCAGTGTGACGAGCTGAGTTGATTTAGTCATGGCCTATATGTAACCTATATACGCAAACTCAGTTTTGGAGATATCGTAGCTGCTTATTTGTCGCAACGGCGAATATCGGATAATTGTAGCATACAAGTATAACTGCCTTGCAAATTGACATTTTAAATTAGATAATATTCCAAAGCAACGCTATAATATCCGAATAAATTGTTCAGATCGGACCACTATGGCATATAGCTGCCATACTAACTGACCGATTAAAATCAACTTCTTGTATGGAAAAAACTTTCATTTGAAGAGATATCTGCACGAAATTTGGCATGGGTTATTATAATAGCTACACAAACTGACCGATGATACTTCTTGTAAGGAATCCTTTGTATTTTTCATGGATATTATAGCTCACGTATAATCGAAATTAACATTTTTTCTTGTTTAAACATTTTTAAATACTTATTTCCCAAATTATGGAGTACTACCAAATACTGTTCATTGTCGATGTTCGTCTATCGGCCGTTTCTATCGATCGGAGTCAATGAACACATTTCGTCACTACATTCTTCAAGAATATCCTCAGGTTAAGATAAAGCTAAAGAAAAAATTTATGTTTTTAAACCTCTACCTATGGGAAGCTGATAAGTCTCATTAAAACTCTATTGTCAAATATTATAATTGACACTATATTTTTGAAATTTCAAAAAACGATTACGTATCATTGCGTAGTCAGCTTGACAATCAAGTATTTTCGCGGTTTGTCCACTAGCTCGTTTGACCTTAATCTACGACAACAAGTGAACAAAGCACGTTGATCAATTAATTGAAACCTCGTTTGCGGCTGCACCTTTCTTGGCGTCGTCGCCCGCTGCGGCATCGCTATGATCTTTTGGCATTTTTATTGCCGCTATGAATATTTCAAACTTGGTATTTTTCGTAGTTTTAATTATTTTTACTTTTGCTTCAATACATACATATGTATATGTACGTACATATACTTGTATATATGAGTGAACCGTAATGTGTTTGCTTGACTTGTACGCGATTGTCTCTACATTTTATACCCTAAACATATATGTATATATATTTTATATATTAGAGGAGTACTGAGACGTCTATCTGCCCGTACGATTCTGAATATTTTTCAAACTCTTGATATGGTTAGATAAAATTGAACCTTTTTGGTTCCCTGTTTTATATACAAATCGACAAATATAAGTAATCATATTGTTAGTTAAACAAAAGTTTAAAGTAATTTTTTGAATTAAATGTTTTTCGAGTTACGCGCAATCTCCAACGATTCTAAAAAATATATCCTCCACTATTGCCCCTACGACCTACGGTGGAAAAAATTAAAAAAAAATTACAAAATGGCGGTGTTTAAAAAAAGCTGAATTCTGCCTAAAATTGTGATCGTTTTACCTGCCCCAATTCGATTTTTGATCAGACTAAAACACTGGTATGCAAAAAATTGGGAAGTGATAAGATTATTTCTATCCGAGTAATCACTCAAGCAAATTTCAAAAGTGTAGTTTTGATAAAACGCGTTTAAAGATGAACTGATGGAACCGAGTGATTACTACTGCGATTGGACGTTTTATCCCACCAAGGACTGTTAACTTGGCAGAATTCTGCCGCTACAACAACATTACTCTTTCAATGGCTATAACTCAAACCATTTGAGATATCGTTTCAAATTTTAGTATTTTATTTTTCAAAGGTATAAATAATCTAAAGAGATTTGAAAAAATCGTTTTATACCCTGAACAGGGTAAATTGTTAAGTTGGCACGTTGTTTGTAACACCCAAAAAACGTCAGGGACTCTATAAAATGTATATGTATATGTATAAAAATGATCAGCGTGACGGGATAAGTCGATTTAGTCATGTCCGTCAGTATATATGAACTAGCCCCTCACTTTTTGAGATATCGATCTGATCTAATATCGCATATAGCTGACATATTGTACAAACTGAACAATCGAAAACAAGTACTTGTATGGAAAACTTTTTACGAGATATCTTTAAGAAATTTGGCATGGATAATTGCCTAAGGCATTGGTGCAACTTCCAAAGAAATGGTTTAGGTCGGATCACCATAGCCATACAAACTGAAAGATCGGAATGCTTGCATGGAAAACTTTTAATTTGACGAGATGTCTTCATCAAATTTGGCATGAGTTATTATACAAGGTAATGGTGTAATCTCCGAAGAAATTGTTCAGATAGTCAATATACCTTATACCTGCCATTCAAACTGACCGATCAAAGTTCTTATAAGGAATCTTTTGTATTTGTGAAGGGTATTATAACTTTGGTGCAACCGAAGTTAACGTTGTCTCTTGTTTTTTTTTTTTAATTCAGGCTATGTGTGCCGCTTCATAACAATAACGATATAAGTATTTTTCCGAAATTACGAGAACCATTCCGAGAATTTATAACCGCCGTTCCAAGAGAGTCGGGTCTATGTAACCCGAACGTTACCAAGCTTAATTTATAATATGAATACCTTCTTACTAATAACTACCAAAATTCAATTCGGTAATTTGTTGATATTTCGGTAACTCTAAAACAAGAGAATTGTAGCATTTACATACATATTTAGAAATGCATTTTGCGTTCTGCATACTTAAGCTTAAGCAGATCGAAGCAAAGAATGCTTTTACTGCCTTAAGCTTGGTATTGTTGTTTAAAGCTATTGGAATTTCAATTTGGTTGCTGGCTTCGAACTTGTTTTATGTGTACTTTAAAGCAAAACTATGCGAATAACTTTGTAAGAAGTGCTTGACTATACATAACATACATATGTACATACCTGGATACGTTATGTGTATGTGGTATATACACAAATCTTTAGGGGTATTCAGATTAGGATTGTTAATTCGTTAGTCGTTATTCGGTAGTTTTTTACATGTATTTTGTTTTTATAAAATTAACATACTATCGTTCTACCGAGTAACAAGGTACCAGACTGGCAAGCTTGATAATTTTTTCGTTACTTGGTAACATCAAATCAGCTGTTTGTTTTACGTCGCAGCCTAAAAAATTCATTTGATTCATTGTTTGTTGAAAGTGTTTTAATGAATTACCAGATTCGGTTCGGATTCGATTCGATGTTCGGTCTGAATACCCCTATTACGCTGCATCAACAAGCGTCTAACGTTGCTAAAAGAGCTGATGCTTTGTTCGACCGCTTCAAGTTCTTTGATTTAACTTCTTTGCTTGGCGGGCGGATAATTCGAGGCTTCATGTTAAAAATCATGCTCTAAAGACAATTTCAGTTACTTGTAGCATTGTGTAATTTGTAATTTATGTGACCACACCTCGCAGGCCGATTTGTATTTTATTACACTTCTGCATACTCGTTAAAAAGCTAGTGCCAATGGAAAGATATAAAAATATTTACGTACATAATTACAAAAAAAGTTAACATTGCTTACACCGAAGCTATAATACCCTAGGTTTTTAATAGGTTCAAGTTTTCTAACGAGAACTTAATTTTGATCGGTCAGTTTGTATGACAGCTATAGCTTTAGTAGTCCGATCTGAAAAATTTCTTCGGAGATTGCATTGTTGCCTTAGAGTAAAAAGTTAATTAAAAACGTTTTCCATACAAGAACTCGATTTTAATCGTTCAGTTTGTATGACATCTATATGCTATAGTAGTGCGATGTGGGCTGTTCCGACAAATGAGCAGCTTCTTGCTGAGAAAAGGACAGGTGCAAAATTTAGATCGATATCTCCAAAACTGAGGGGCTAGTTCACATATAGGTATAAACATTACTTTAAAAAGTTTTCAACATTTCGGCTGTACGTGTAAGAATCTTTTAAAAATATTAATTGATTTGATTTCGTATGGGGACTGTAAGAATCTGTTGTCATCTTTTTTAGCTTTCAGGCAAATCAAACCCGACAAGAGGCAGCATCAACGTCGCTGTACAAAAAGCAACCAACTGAACTTGAGGTTGGGTACATTGGTGCATTACCGTATTTGTTGTTTTTGCAGTCGCATACGTACTAGCATCGGCCATAAAGAACGGCAGACACGCTTTATTTTACGAATTATTGCAACCAATGGTGTCTATGTCTTCAATGTTCTAAAGACTCCAACTCATTATGCTGGTTTATTTCCCGTGCTGGGCCGTGCTGCAGTTCTCTCATAGTCGATCAATACTCAGCAGCAATTGTTTATGGCTACCAAGCGTATATATGTATGTATCTATTGTACATATACATATGTATATGGATTATAGTTGTTGTTTAGCGCTTGGTGGTCTATTGACTTATCCACAGAACGTCTGCATTGAGTCGCTCCACATTTTACGATCTTGAAGTTATGAGCTCTGGCCGATGGGAACAGGCATATTCTTGCCGATCTTTGCCTTTGATTTTGTATTAGCATGAGTAACAATAATGCTACAAGCAACACAAGCACATGATGTTTATGGTGACAATACGTCTTTAGTTCGTGCACCCAATAAACATCACGTTTCTCCCATTTCTTACCACTTTTATATACACATACCATACATACATATGTATGTGGCTTAACGAAAGTTATGTTAAAACGTAGCTAAAAAGTGTAGATTTGTAAATTTAATGGTAAATAACATTTAAGTCACGCAAAAAGTTTTTAAGCCAATTCGACACAGCCCTCAGAAACTTCAATATTGGTTATTTGTAAAATTGATTGAATTGTTGATGTCTGAGTCTTTAATTAAACGGACTTTAGATCATATTTCGATTTAGTTGTAAGTTATCTGCACCAATGCGGAATATATTTTTGAAAGTTTTAGTGTTCTTGCTTGGTCCGATAACGAGATCGGTTGGATTATAATCATTTTTGCAATCTTAGAGATGTATTTTGGGAACTTAGTAATTGTCGAAGAATGCCTATGTATTTCTTCTTTAATCATTATATAATACAAGTATAAAGACACCGATGTTTAACATTTTAGTATTTTACCATACCTTTGATAAGATAAGATACAATTTTTATGTAAGTTTAGAGCATAGACAACCACCACTTTTGACACATTACTTTCGGCAGCTGAACTATAAATTAATTCCAACGAATATCCTCTATTGAGAAATACATTTATTATACCCTGAACAGAGTACATACCTATTTTAAGTTTGCCTCGAAGGAAACGTTGGAGACTCTTAAAAATATATGTACATATAATATATATAAATGATCAGCATGATGAGCTGCGACGGTTGTATATACGGGAACAAGCTCCGGCGCAACTGATGTTAACGTTTTTTCTTGTTTTTTTTTTGTTTTATCTTCCTCTTAAATAACTCTCACTCAAAGGAACATATTACTTCGATAGTTAGATTAATAATATTTATTAATTATTAATAATATATAAAACAGTGATTATATATTTGTTTTCTTCCTCTAGTTTATATAATACATAGATACTGTTATTATATTTCACTTTCTTTCAAAAAAAACAAAAGAGCATTTCAAAATAAGCCAACTATAAATATCAACAACTGAAGAAATGTCTTCCTCGCGCAATAAATTCTTTAGTAGCGGCAAATTATCAAATAAGTCGTCCGGTTCGTCAGGTCTCCGCATACTTTGGATACCGGGGGGACGCAAAAGCCATCCCAAAGGTCGTTTCGACTCCACCAACAAACATGTACCGCACAAAGGCGAACAAAAGAAAAGTGAAGTGTGGTCCCTGGGTGGGGGTAAAAATCAAAAAGACTTATTAGAAGCGTAAGTTTCCGCTGTATAAAATACACATTTTTTAAAAGAATTTAAACAAAAAACTACTATATCTTTTAATCTGGTGTTCAACAACATCTTCCATCTAATCTGTACATACTTTCGCAATATTAAGTGGATGATGGCATTAAATAGCATTCGTAAGTTATACAAATATAATTCATCATATTATACTTAAATAACTGTTTTGACACTCCAAACACCATTTTATGCCATAATGACACGAGCATGTAAGCATTTCATTACAATTCGAAAATTCATTCCTTCACATCTAAACCCACCTTATGACTTAAATTGATTTGAAAAACTAGACTAATTAAAATTAATTTTGTACATATGTTTTTAAACTAGTTAAAAGTTATAAACAGCTAATATATAACTAATAACATATCTTAAGAATGATAGATCCGAAAATTTTACGAATATTAGTTATTTTAATTAAATCAACCGTCACTGGAAACCAATTTGGTCTCGCAGACGAAGTTCATTCAATTTTACATAAATACATTCCATAGATATCTAGGTACTTTATATTTCACACTAACGTCCAAGTTGTCTCGGAGACTTAATACAACTGTAAACATTACTTCATAAGCACGTTCCATAACAAAAATCACAAAAATTGCAACAAATGAGACGGTTATTGTTTTTGTTTACAATTCGCGCTCCAACTTATTTATAAACAAAAGTTTTTTTTTCTGTTTTTTAATGTAGTACACACATATGACATGTATACTGTCTCTCTTTCCAAGCTTTAGAGCAATCATATTTCATTGAACGAGCTTGTTGAGATCGTTCCATGCTCACAGTGTCTATGAAATCAAGTAAAGCTAAAGCACTGAGTACTCTACTCGCAATTTGAACTTCTCCATATTACGCTCGACTGGATCCAACCAGCACACACGAATATGCGACTGGCAAATCTCAATCTCAGCTGTTCAATTATTAGAGGAAGGTGTTCGGTTTAGTGCTTGCGTTGGTGTGTCAAATGATTAATTACGCTTATTTGGCGTGAGATTTCCCGGATTTTGAACTGCTCATTAAAAAGCGCAACATCAGCTACGCGGATGCCGAAGATGTTGAGCATCTTTCAGTGTTATTTTATACGTTTAATTTGCTTCTTCTGCTGGTATTTATTCGCTCTGATTTTCTGGAGGTGTTTGAATAACTACAACAAAGACAACCTTAAACAAAAAGAAACGATGTAAAAATTGCTAAAAACCTTAAAATCCAAAATCTGAGTGCTTAAAAGCGAAAAGTACACCGATTAGTCATTGAGTGCAAAAGAGTTTTAAGTCAAATAAAGAATACGTCATTCGTATGTTCAAGCATTGAAGTCACACAAGTGTATGCTTTACATATTTGAATTGTAAAGAAAAAGTAAAATATAACAACAAAATTTAGCAAATATATTTAAAACATTAAACATTAACGGTTGGAGCGCTTTTTTTATACATACATATAGACATTATACAACCATTATTTATTTCATACTTTGTCATTTGATAATTGTGACATCATCATTTTAGCCTAACACAAGCATTGTTGTGAACGCGATGCGCATACAGAAACTCCAATAATTGACATACAATCTCATCGCACTAAGTTATGCACATGTAAACATGTAATTATTGTACAATCAAATGCCGCATACATCCCTACATTTGTACATATATTCAAATATGCACCTTACATTTTTATAACTATGTATGTCCATAAGCATCTGCCTAACGCATTTTTAAACACCATATCACCTCCGATCGGTTTTCTAATTTGGTCTTTTTTTAAATTTTTTTTTTTTTTTTATTTAGCGATCCTGACAATAACCTTTTTGACGGTCCTTCAGTTTCTGGCATAACGTCTGCTGCTTGTGCCCTCGGCGCTGTGGGTGTAGAGAAATGTACCAATTCAACAACTACACCAACAATATCTATCTCAACAGCCGAAGGCAGCATAAGCGCTGATGCCAATGTCCATAACGCAGCACAAACACCTAGTAGTACAGCCTCAACAACGCCTCTAGTATCTATACCGAACAGTCCCGACACTGGTGCCACACCGAAATTAATTGTTATAACAACTTCTAGTACAACGGAAAGCGACAAAAGTCCAAACTCTGGCAGTATGCCGGCCAAAACTGCGCTTACAACTGTGACCACAACCACAACGGCAGAAATAATGGATGTAAGTATTTACGAGTATTTGACTTTCACTTAAAAAATGGGTAAATGTATATATATGTATATATAATCTTTTTAATGCAGGAGAATCGTTTCTCGATTCTTGGCAAAGACATTTCGAACGAAATCGACGTGTACGACCTGCCATCACCACCTAAAAATGGTCTTAATACTCCACCACCTGAGGGCGCGACCAGTGTGCTCTTGAATGTATCGGCTGGTACGACGGCTTCAACAGCGACCACACCATCGCCGTCCAACACACCTAAACAACATAGTGAACGAGATTCTATGGCTGGTTTGTCCGCCAAGAAGAAGCATTACCATAAAAATGAAAATAACAATCATCAGGTAATATCGGCTTACTGTACTAATACTGTTATATTATTCATTAAAATAAAAATAACAAAATGACCATTTCAGAATGATATCGATTCCATCGAAAGTATATCCGATAATACGAAATTGCCCAGTAACGATCTTGAATGGATTGATGAGCTATTTCTCGAACGCAATGGCAAGGAATTGCTAAGTAAGAAAAACAAAAAAAAGAAAAAGAAGATCTCAACTACGAAGGAGTTAGACCAACTTGACGGCGTACCGAGCAAGCAAAACGCCAAAGACGGCGCTGCCGATGAAGACGATAAAGTGGTAAAGTGTCTTTACTACACATTGATGTGCTGCGATTGCACAATTTCTTAATAGACAACAATTCCTGAACAACAACACTTATTTTTATACAAAATGTGAAGTTAATAAACTTTGTATACAAAGTCTTACAAAATCAAAATATTTAATTAAACGAGTCTGTCCAGTATATATATTTATATACAATTAATAATATAAAATGCAAGACGAACTTGCATTCGCTGAATTACTTAAGAGAATTTGCCAATTGTTAACATGAAATATTCCTGCTGATTAGATAGTACGTAAGATAAATATACGAGTATATGAATTTAAGAGCTCTATATTGAAGAATACGCTCTTACTATGTATGTATTTAATACAAAATAAGTAGTAAGTTATTGTTATATAATAAACAACATTCACATGAATATGGAGAAATGATTTTTATACATGCAAAAATATAAGCATGCTTATATATTTCTTTTATATTTATAAAGATACATTAAAATCGCTATTTTAATAATATTAAAAACATGCAGCAGTGCAGCTGAAGTACGACCATCTAAAAACAATAACAATTGTGTTTTATTTTACTTATATGTAAGTACTCGTGTACGAGAAACTATAAAGAATTTCAAAACAATATTGGGAGTATAAAACATTAGCTTATATCGATACCTTTTTCAGAGTTTCAAACTTGGAATAGAATTTTTTTTACATATTTATTAATATTATACCTTTACATACATACCGCTTTTACTTGAAACGTAAGACTCTTTGTTGGATTATTCGTATTTTATACACTTACCGCACTTGAGTTACTTGAGCAAAATGGGCAAAATCGGTATAAAAACATACCCACTTTATTGTTATTGTTGTAACGGTTATCTAATCCTCGTTTGAATGATAAGTAATAGTTTGGTTGTCGTCAACATATGGGAATGTCGGGCTCTCTTCTAGATAAGTAGGAGTTTAACCTTCTCCAGAACGAAGTTGCGTGAGGGTCATTCTGGTATCGCGAGACAACTCGAGCTCTACGTCTGCTATGGGTGGTGGACTTCTGCGAAAACACCCCAGCAGAAACTGCTTGGAGAGGAGCTCGTTATGTTCCTTAACCGGAAGCATAAGGGCCTCACTGTGCAGGTGTTTTATTGGGGACATCAAGAGGCATCCCGTGATAGTCCGGAGTGCAGTGTTTTTTTTTTTAACATACCCACTTCTTTTATAACGGTTTCTTTTATAACGGTTATGTTAACTCTCAAAAATATCAGCACATTATGTTTGAAAAATATATATGTATGTATATAAGTATGTATGCATATGCAAGTACATGCAATGTCCAAACCTTAATTATCTTTTGAAAATTTACGAAAAAGGGCCCATAAAGTTCTCTTATAAAAATTTACAATAGGATGTGACAATCCAATGTATTGAGGAAAGGTTTTTTATGAAGCAACATTTTACATTTTCATACATATGTAGGTAGAATAAAACGATAACATCTTTAATCGATGCATGATAAGCAACAATTCAAGATAATCGATATTTTTCACTTTCATTAAAGAAAAATTATAAAAAATGATATCTCATCAATAAATATTCAATGAAAATATACAAATATTCATAAAGTTATCTATTTTAAGTTATTTAAAGGTAAATATTTGAGGCATTCATAAGGCAATACTAATATTTTGAAAATACAACCCTGGAAATTACGAAACTGCAGAGAATAAACAAAACTAAATGGAAAGGATTTTTTTGAATTTCTTATGCATGCAAATTCGCGAATATTGTTTAAAGCGAAATCCTGAAAGGAATATGAAAAAGTCGAAAGTAGATCCGATAGGAATTTTTCAAGCAGGTTCAGTTTTTCTTGTAAGAAAAAATTGTGAAAATTTTTCTTATTAGCAAAACATATCAAAAAACCGATTACCGTTAATTGAAAAATACAAAAATAAACAGTGTTGTAGGCAAAATTGTATATTAGTGTTTTCTCGTTATAAATTTAGCAGTTTAGCAACAAAACTACAGAAATTATTAATATGGTAAGTTTTTGGCAAAAAGTAGAAAGCAAATTGTTATACTATATTTGCAAAACTAATTTTTAGGATCACGTAAAAAATTTCTATCCTGAAAATTATAAATTGGATCTGTCGGAAACAATGAAGGCAGCGCTATCAAAAGGGCCAGGTGGTGTGGGAGTTGGAGTTGGAGTAGGTGGTCTTGGCGGTGGGGGCGGCGGAGCAGGCAGTGCTGGTAGTAGTGGTGGTGGACATGGAATGGGTGCGGCAGTATCCCATAGTGAAATACAGAGCGGCGGAAGTACCGGTATTCCAGGTGTTGGATACGTAACAGAAAAGTTATACATGCTATTGCAGCTGTACTTGCAAAACAAAGGATGGAACCCAAGTGCTGAATTATTGCAATGTTTTACGGATCTCAAAGATAATGCTATGTTACCCAGCGCCGCCTATTTGCAGTATGTAGCTAATAACATTATACACAATAATATTAGTTTTATATACTTTAATCTAAATCCTCACATTTCTTCTTATTTTAGAGTTCTAGCTAATCGCTTGACTTTGGATGCTCAAGGGCGTTTAATATTACGAGAAAATGGCAAAATTGTCCTTCCATTTGAACATTTCGCCAACGCTGTGATGCTAAAGCACATGTCTGGTCCACATGGTCTACATTTGAGTGTAGAGGCTACTGTGCGTGCAGTGATTGAATCTTATACAATCGGTCGCGAAAATTTTGGCATGGAAAAGGAATTCATAATAGAAGTTGTTCAGTCTTGTCCCAGCCCAGCTTGTCGTTATTATAAGAATCATCTTGGTATGTCACCGTTGCCATTTATGGATCAACAATTCCCAGGTGTGAATCACGCAGATTTTCTACAGCATTTGCCACACCTGCCCCCACCACCGCCTCATCCCATGGTTCCTGGATCAACAAACAGTGGTGTCTCCTCTGCAGGGTCCTCATCCTCCGGTGGAGGTAGTAGTAATATTGCTGGTTCCTCTGGTGGTTCTGTTAGTGCAGGCGGAGAAGTCGACTTAACAAAAAGCTCCACAACATCACACTCAACTGGAAAGGTGTCTGTACCCACCCAACTTCAAATGCTCACAAAACAACAGCAAAACAGTATACAATCACAATTGTCCCAGCTTAGTGCAGCTGCTGCGGCAGCAGCCCACCATCAACAGCAACAACAAGTCGCTGCTGCTGCAGCTGCTGCTGCCGCCGCTAAGCAACAACAACAACAGGCACAAGCGGCGGCTGTTGCTCAACAACAACAACAGCAGCAATTGACAGCGGCACTTTTACAGCAACAGCAAAGTCGGGCATTAGCTCAGCAAAGTTTGGAAAAATTCAATAACTTAAGTGCTTTGGAGAAACAACGAGTGCTACAACAATTAGATCCAAAACATTTCGATCCAATGGCTGTGGCTGCAGCAGCTGCCAATTTACAAATGCAGGGCATTAGTGACTTTAGGGTAAGAGAATATGAATATACAAATCTAGATATACATATTATAATATATTCAACCTGTAGGTTGCCGCTATCGCCGCTGCAGCCGCACAGGCAGCTGGAGGGTCTCCTATGTTGCCATCATCTTCCACAGCTGCATGTGGTGCACCGATTACCAGTAGTAGTGCTCTTAACAACAGTAATAGCAGCATGACCGGAAGTGGTAATAACAGTAATAGCACTACTGGCATTGGAAACTGTGGCGGTAATTTAAGTGGAGCCTCCGTTTTGCCATCAACGGTTGGTAGCATGAACAACAGTGGTGGTAGCAATAGTAGCGCAAGTAGTGCGGCACACATTTCTGCTAACAACACAAGTAACAACAACATCATTGGTGTAAGTGGCAGTGCTAGCAGCAACAATTCTCACCATAGTCATCAATTGCCGCCTCCATCTCAATCGCCTAGCGCGCACTCCAGTCACTCTTCGTCCTCATCTTCATCGCACTCCACTGAACAAATTGTTCAAAAAAATGTAGAACTATTGCGGTGAGTACGATATTTCGAAATTTGTGAAAGACATTAAGCAAGAATACATAGTACGGGCAATGGTATGAAATTTCAGAAGCATTACCAAAACAGTTATTTACTTTAACCGTTGTGTTTTAATCATACAATAATGAATGAGTATTGTTATAATATAAAATATTCTCAATATACTGTTATTATATTTTTATTATATAAACTCCGAATCGGGAGTATAGCATATACAAAAAAAGTAAATAAATATTTAATATAAAAATTGTTTACAGTTCTAATTTGGAATCTATTGAATCGAATAAAGACTTGCTAGCATTGCATAATGGCGCATGGACTGTACCGGATAATAATCGCGAACCTTTACCAGTGGGTCAAGATAAAATAGTGCGTATTTTCACCGAGTTAATGAGAAATATGGCGCGCATGAAAACCTATATACGTCCCTCTATGTGTAAACCATACGGCAAACAGAGCGAAAGCTTACAGAAAAGTAAAAAAACTCATTTCCATTATAAATATTTAAACATACGTATGTCTAAATATATACTTGAACTTTCTAGCACTTTTGGATACAATACAAATTGTACAAACATTGCGTAATTGCTTGCCAGCACCACACATCCCGGTGTCCTCGTGGAAAAGCGAAAGTGAAGGTAACGCTGGTTTAATAACTGCGAATAACGGTTCGGTAGGTAGTACAAGTAGCGGCATAATGGGTGGAGTAGGCGCTGGTTTAATGGTGACTAACAGAGTGGAAAATTTGACCAACTGAATGTAAGCAAAATATTTCCTTTTCTTATTCTATTTTTTAGTTGTGTTAATTTAAATTTAAAGTGTTTTATATTTTCCTCTACGCCGTTCCCAACAGAGATGGTTTCATAAACACATTATTATGTTCCAAATTCACTTCCAATCCTCTGCAATAGTTACTTTTAGAAGTTGTGTTTTTTTTTTTGCTGCGCTGGAAAATATTATTTCAGAAATTCATAAATGCTAAAACTTTTTGTTTATTTTTTCACCCAACAATATCTAATCAAGTTAGGCACAACGAACAGTACTATTTTCTGTTCGCTTTTAAACTGTTTTAACAATATTAATTAAAACTCGCAAGCCAAGAACAAGACTGAAACATTAAATGACTTGGTACTGATAGAAAAAGGAATATGGTTGGTGTAGAGAATTATTTATTAGTATTTACCCTGTTTGATATCATATCTCAACTCAAGCTTGATAGAAGCGTTTAAAAGTTTTAAACTAGAGGGCATTTAAAAAACGTTCTACTTAAGAAGTCCGACATTAATTCAAAATAGTTTTAGCAAAAACAAAATAATAATAATAAATAAATAAAAATAAAACTTAAAAGCTCATGCATATTTAGATGTTAGATTAAGTGCACAATTGATTTAGCTCAATCTGTCTTTAATTGCATAAGATAAAATTTAATTCCATAAAAATAAAAATTATGCACTATTCACATACATATTTGATAATAAAATATTTAACAATTTTTTGATTAGAAAGGAGTTGATATAATTTTGCTTTTAACAAAGAGTACTAATCCAGTTATATAGTTTGACAATGGCTTTCGAAACTATGCTATTGTACCAATGAGTTGTAGTGTCAAACGCATTTAATATTTTTAACAAAAAATGCGCAAGGGTTTTTAAAACCGTAAAATAGGCACATGTGCAATTCCAACTTAAATGTTGATAAAAGTAGATTTAATCGAAAAACATACATACATAATGACATATATAATTATATATAAACATATGTATATATGTACGTATGTCAGGAGTATATGTGCAGAAATTCACTTCCACATAGTATAAACGGCTTGCAATAATTAATCAAAATGAAATAATGTAATGGTGCCAAGTAGTGCACAATATTAATTAAATTTTATTATATAGAGTTGTGAATTAAACTTTTTTTATTTTTCTCTGCATTACATTTGAAGTGCCATGTTTTAAAATTTAAAACAGACTGAGCTCGTCTAAGTTTTTATTATTACACGTATGTATGTGTGTTCTAATAAAATATGTTAAACGTTCTTTTTCTTATTTGATTGTGTTAATTAACGTAACATTTCATAAGCTTATTATATATAATATTATTTCAAATGCCAGTACGGATTATGTTTTTTATAAATTCAATGGTAAGTAAGTATGAAATTTTTGGCGAAAACTGTGATACATGAAATTCTATATTTTATATTTCCTCTCATTACTAACATACATATATATATTTTTACTTACAACATAAACAAATTACTTTTGTTATTTGGTTATATGATATATTAATTTTGGAAATATTTTTTGCAAAAGCATTAAAATGGTTTTTTCATTAATTAACAAATGTCACAAGCACCTTAAATAGCTAACCATATCATTTTTGTTGTCATTAAGCTCTATAATTATTATGTAGACATACATAGATGCGAGTATAAATATATCTTACTTTACTTATATCAATCTGCAATAAAAAGGTTAAAATAATAAAATATAAAACTACAATATCGATACAAAAAATGTGCATATTGGTACTCGTACATTCGTAGAGAAATCGAGCTGTGCAAAATATGTGCACAATTTTATTTCTCTTTGGTTTTAAATTAAAACCTAGTGTTAGATCGGCCGCATATTTCTTATTGGGTACCTAAAACATTATGCAATTTATCAATTTTATATTTTATGACAAAAATACATAATTACTTATGTGTAAACTCTAATTTTATGACGTGTCCAGAGGTTGTATTGTTAGTATTAATATAAGTCAAATAATTTTACACTTTTAAGAAAACTGATTTAGTAAAAAAAAATTATATCTGATTTTGCAACGATGTTTATTCAACAAAGACTCTGTTATATGTAAGAATATATAAAGAATTATAATTAAACAATAAATTTACAATATACATATATATATATTTATATGCCCACATACAGTATTACAATATTTTAACTGTTATAAAAAAAGTTTGCATATTTCGATTTTAGTTTTATGTGGCTCTACTTATGTTCAAACACTTTTCACATATTTAACATGCATATTTCAATTATTACATTATAAGTGTCACTACTATGCATTAAAATAATGTTAAAATATATTATATCGCTTTCCAAATATTCAATAAAAAAATTTATCGCTTAACCTATATGTTTGTGTACCTTATTTGTGTTAATACAATCAGAAAATGGAAGTTCGTTGAATTTAATCAATTTGATTACATTTCGTTGATATTCGGATTTATAATAAGTTACATCTGGCACCAACCCTTAATTTAATAGTTTAATAGTATTCTTTAGTGGCATCCTTGCAGATATGTCAAAGGATACTGATATTCATCGTAAAGGGTATCATAGTCTATTATATTGTGTTTAAAGTAAATTAATTACATTGATTTAGTATTTTGCTAATGCATACTAACGTCGTTGCAATGCAATATTGCTGCTTTACCTGTCTTCAAGAGCTTCCGCCATTCACGACGGAACAAAATAGCAAACCTCTACAAAACCTACAATGGAATGAAGATTTAGCTAAAACTTATCGTAAAAATACTGGCATTGTTATTAATTCTTTACACGAGTATTCAAAGCAATTTTGTCAAAATTGTTACGATAAATTAAGGGCTTTCGACGATTTTTGTGAAACTGCATTAGATTGTTCGACTGCTTTGTCCGAACTACTACTTGAGGAGGACTTTTCATTGAAGACATTAAAGAATTTACAACACTTTTGCAGTACCTGCTTATGTCAAATGAACGATAATGCTAGCGATTCCTTACATTTAAATAATAGGAAAGTGAAACGCTGGTTGCATGAATACAACAAATTGAAAATACGTACTGCGACAGAGTATTGGCCAAATAGTATTTGTCAACGCTGCTGTAAAAAAATGGACGAATTTCTAGAATTCCAGTATACAGCTAAACAATCATTTAAACAAATAGACAAAACTTCGAATCCGCAACAAAGTGACATTGAAAATACATCGAAAGAAGAATATAATAATCATTTGAGTAATCAGGACACCGAGTGTCTTGAAGAAACTAATGTAAGTACTAGTTATATTATGGAGAACAAAGTAAATGTAGCTAAAATATTTTGTAATGCGCAAAAGGACGATAAAATTGGCAGTTTAATATTGGATAATAACCAACAACCGCTTGAAAAACATTGTGAAGTGGATTCTGTTGAAAATAACGTTTTTAACCAACACTGTTCAACAGAACATTGCTTAACGAAACAATGTAATAAAGCAACAGATATTGCAGATTTAACCACACCTCCTGGAAGTCGTCAAGGCCACTTCAATACAATTAGCATAACACCAAAGTCACTTCCAAAAGCCAAAAATCAGAATTCAAAGTACCTTGGAGATCAAACTGAACACACTAATAAAACAGATAAAAATCAAAATCACCTTTTATCTCCGTCAAGTCAGAAAGGCTTCCAATGTAACCATTGCCGGAAAATTTTCAAAGCAAAAACCCGTTTAAAGAGGCATAAACGTTATTCGATAGTATGTTCTAGCAAATGAATACACAGTTTTAGTAATTTTCACGTTAGATTCGTTGTCTTACTTTAATATATGTATGGATGTATAAATATATATTTGGAACTTATTTTGAAATTATTATATATATTTATGTATGTATATTGTAAAATTAGGCAAGAAAAAAAAAGATTATTGTGCATTAACATAGAATAAATACACCGGACCAGCAAGCAAAACCTGGATTCTTGAGTTTTCGTTGACTTATTAAAAATAAATTTAAAAATATTAATACAAAGTGTAACCGAAGTATATATCTGTATCTAATAAAATAAGATTTATAACAATATATATGTACCAAATATGTTAAATATGTACTCGTATGTATGTTAATAAAAAACTGTTGCCGTCTTTAAAGTATTCTTTATTTATATATTTTATATATAAGAATGAAAGAAAGTATTACGGAAATTTATATATAATATTGAACTTAGGAACTAGAATAGATATATTATTTTTTTATTTTATCAGGATGTTCAGCACTACATCTTGATAACAATAACAATAAATATATAATAAATAGTTATAGTTTGGAAGCAAGAATGATCATTCTTGGCTTGGAAGTAAGTAGTAATCGATTATGTAGAAAATTTAATCGATAAAACAAATCAAATAGTATATCGATGAAATGTGAAACGCGCGCAAGCCGGTGAATGATTTCGTGTTATATTGACATATACCCAAAGGGCAACCAAAGGATTTTTATATTTGCTTTGATATATGAATAGTATATGAATATAATAAATATATGAATTTTAAATCTTGTAATTAACCTAATAACAAATAAGTGCAAGTGCAAAAATGGCTCTCTGGGTTGATAAACATCGTCCGCGTGAATTATCAAAATTAGATTATCACAAAGTAAGTTGTGCATATTATAATTTTTACCTGTTATTCACTGTGATATTTGTAATTTCTCTCTCAGGAGCAAGCTGAAAATTTGCGAAATCTTTGTCAACAGGGAGATTTTCCACATCTAATGTTTTATGGACCCTCCGGTGCTGGGAAGAAGACACGGATTATGTGTTTGTTGCGCGAACTATATGGTGCGGGTGTTGAGAGACTACGTAACGAAACAATGACTTTTACCACACCCTCCAATAGAAAAGTGGAGGTGATGACAGTTGGAAGTAATTATCATCTAGAGGTCAATCCATCTGATGCGGGTATTTATGATCGCGTTGTGGTTATCGATCTTATTAAGCAAGTGGCTCAAACACATCAAATCGATGCATCTGGACAGCGTGAATTTAAAGTAATTGTACTCTCCGAAGTAGATGAACTGACCAAAGATGCTCAACATGCGCTTCGTCGCACAATGGAAAAATATGTTGCTACGTGCCGCATAATACTATCGGTAAACTCTACTTCGCGTGTTATACCAGCAATAAGATCACGTTGCTTAGGTATACGTGTAGCAGCGCCGAGCGAAGAAGACATAACATCGGTACTTCAACTGACTTGTAAACGTGAAGGTTTGACATTGCCGGCTGAGTTAGCAGCACGTATAGTGGAGAAAAGTGAACATAATTTGCGACGGGCATTGTTGATGTTGGAAGCATGTAAGGTGCAGCAGTATCCATTTACTGGGCAACAGGACATTGTTGAACTAGACTGGCAAGTGTATTTACGTGAAACAGCTAATCAAATTGTGACGGAACAAACACCCGCAAAATTAGAGAAAATACGTGATCGTTTGTATGAGTTGCTGGCACAAGGTGTGCCGCCTGATATGATTTTCCGTGGACTAGTAGAGCAACTTGTGAGGAATTGCGATATGTCAATTAAAGCGAAAACGTTAGAATATGCGACCCTATATGAACACCGAATGCAAAACGGCGCCAAACATATTTTTCATTTGGAGGCGTTTGTTGCTCAATTTATGAATATATATAAGAAATTCATTTCCGAGTCGATGATGATGGACGATTTTTAGTTTTATAAAAATGTGAAAAGTTTATTTGTTTAATATTGTTTGAGATAATAATAAAAATTGGAATCTTTACAAAAGCTGATTATAAATAGTGCGTTTAAGCCGCAGCTTGCTGCCGCATATGTTTTGAATACTCTTCCTGAAATGCCATTTGAATTTTGTCCTCTGCTGTGCGTTGTGCCGTATCAATGTAGTTCTGCACAACGTCTTCCAATTCAGTAAGTACCTAGAAATTTGATTACAAATATAAATAATCGCATGAAACACCCAATAAACGATTTCCATTTTGTCCGCGAACCTGTTTATATTCTATGTCTGTATCGGCGTTTAATCGCAATCCATGCAATAAAAGATCAAGTGTGTTGACAGGCAAGCACATTTCCGGATTTGTAATTGCGATAGCATGCTTAAAACTGAAGTATTCACTGCCGGCTCCTAACATTGCGTTAATCATTTCCTGTGCTAGTTCGGCAGCCTCAAGCAAGCGATTATGTTTTACAAATAAATACAACAGTTCTCTGCAATTGGCCAGCTATAAACACAAACGAAATTTGTGAGAACGTCGCTATTATAAGGTAAAATTTTCAGAATAATACGTACTTTATAGTCATTGTACAGCCATTGTGGTAAGAAAGCGTTCAAGCTTAACAGCTTATTAACCACTGATTTTCGTATACGTGTCGAATTTTCCAACTCATTGTCATAAACTAATTTTTGTAGTAGTGACCAGGCCATGTCGGCGGGCTTATTGCGGTGAGGCAAATCTAAATAACAGAAACAGCCAAATATAGATTCATAATATAATAGTATAGTATAAAAATGGCAATCCTTTACCAGCCAAGTCATTCTCTTGTAACCACGCCCATGTTTCATTGGCGCCTTCATCGTCAATGCGAATGCACGCAGAAGTTAGACTGTCGAATATGGGAAGTGGTGATATCTCAAAGCCGTTGGCCAATTTTAGCGCATCGGTGTAGAGGCCACAGCCAGATAAGATAGTCGCCAACTCCTGTGGTCCTGCATTGATGAAGGTCTGTACATCTTTGCGGTGATCAGCGAGCCGCACCAATGCTTCCGTCTGAAGTAGTTCACGTTTTATATCTTTTATTTCTAATACCACCACTTGCTCTCGACCGCACTCTTCATTTGATCTATTGTCCATTGGCTCGGCGTCGTTAACTGTACTCGGTGGCGGTGTGTCATCTAAGCCAATTACAGGTTTTGCAATCCAACGATACCGTCGATCAATTAGATGCAACGAATTGATACAAACCAAAAGAGCTGAACAGCGCTTCTCCATGGATTCAACCGTATCGCTTTCCAATTGAAAACGCATTGCCTGTTCATACATAATGGCAGAAGCTGTAAACAAAAGAGAAATCATCAATGTGATGGCACGTAAATTATTCGTAAATTGTTTGCAGACCTTTTCGCATATTTCCATTGTTAACATGAAAGGCATACAGAAAGTCATAGACCTCATTTTGATCAATTACTAGTGAGCGTGCACGTGATTCGACAATATTTTCAAACTCTTCATGCAATCCAACATATGGGAAGTGCATTAGAAGATCAAGTCTTTTGCGATTAAATAATGTGACGACCAGCTGTCGTAAACAATCCTTGCGACGCGATAGCTCCGCATTGTAGATGAGCGAGTGGTAAGCCTCCTCATAGTGCTCCAATTGTAAGTGATTATTGAAGACAATCGATTGGAACATTGGCAACTGAGGATCGGATTTGTCCAGCAATCCAATTGCTACTTGTGCCATAGAAATAATATGATCCAATGCGTTATGCTGCTCAAGTAGTTGTATCACTTTCAAATAGTATTGGGTGATGACCTGGTTATTTATGTTATTATCTAAATTATCACCACCACCACCATCTTCACTCATCGCTGTGAGATTGTCGACATGTTTTGCCAGAGCGGTGCCCTTAAGTATTTTGTCAATCAAGAACTGCTCGCGCAGCACACCTTTAGCGGACTGCAGGAAAAGGTCATACGCCTTATATGTTTCACCAAAGTCCAGCAAAGACACGGCAAGTATAAATTGTCCTAAAAGTAAAACGAAACAAAAAAAATTATATAAAATGATAATTATGTGTGAATTAAATCACATACGTGAGCAAATATTCCATTCACACCAATTGCTGAGCAATCGTACATAATCCTGGATGGCAATGTGCTGACAAGTTCCAAATAACCATTCACCAAATACAAAATTAAACGAAACCGGCCAACTGTAAATAAGAAAATAATAAACAACTGTACATATGCTGAAAATGGTTAGAAAATTCCAACATACATTAACTGGCTCACAATTGTAGTTAGCGGCAGCAATGTATTGGACCAAGTAGGAACGTTTTCGCTGTCTTTGAAATTCTCTGCGTACAGTGCGCCAGCTGTATACAATCCCTTAGCATTGAGAAAGACACGCAGCAAAGGTGATACATGGTATTTACCACCATTTGTGTATATCCGACCGGAGCCATTTGCCAGTTGCAGTAGATTCAAGCGCTGAATGGAGCTCTCTCTGTAAAAACAAACAATCATGTCTAGGTAATAATATTAATAAAATACACAAATATATAGTTACAATGAAGCAGCTGCGTTGATATTCACAGGCGTCTGTGCTATCCAACCCATTACGAAGTACGATTGTAAGAAAATGGTTACGTCGGGTATAAAATGTGACCTAACGGTTTCCAACAAATCAACGTTAAGCGAATAAGTGTCGATTAGGAATTGTTGCAGTATAAGTAGGTTGCGACAAATTGAAAATCTAGAAATAATACAAAAAAAAAATTATATTTAACTGTACAAACGCCACATTTATTCACCTACTTGACTGCAGTTATTTGGCGTACTGTTTCCGATAACACTGACAAACCCAAATGGCTACCAAAAAGCACACCAACTGAATTCACAAATTGCGACGATTGCGATAAACCTTCAAAAAACATTTCATTAAATATAAATTTCTCAAACAGTTGTGTTCCTTACCGAAATTGGTTTGCATTCCGGCTGGATTGCCATTATCCATTCGTAGACTATCAAGTAGCAGCATCATCGCCATTCGCATGTCATTAATGGACTGCAATTTTTGCCTAATCCATACTAGAAAACTGCTTGGTAGTATTTCACGATCAGGATCGCCTGCTAAAATTTCATCGCTCAATTTGGCAATGAATACGTTTGGCATTTCTAAACGGTAAAGACGTTTATCTACGTCCGATTTGATTTCGTCTGGCAACCAGTGCTCCAATTGAGCTACAATGGATACCAAAGTAACGAGGTCTTCACCCACTCTTTCATTGTCTGCAAAGTAGGTTGATACAATTGTGCTTGTGTCGAGATCTTCACCCGCAAGCATAAGATGCTCTAATGTATCGCAAGGACGCAATAGTGAAAAGTTGTTCTTTTTCACCAAACATACTCCATCGATGGATTCGAGCACGAAGAGACCGCAGGGCTGACAGGATTTCAAGTGATACTGTTCACAACATGAATAGAAACGTTCCCATTGTCGCGTCGCTATTTCCAAGTAATCCTCATCAGTGACATCGAACTCTTTGACTTCATTTTGTATTTCATCCTCGACAGCTTGGCAAACTTGATCCTTAAGTATTGGCAGTGTGCAATGCTTTGATTCGAAACGCAGATTCGTACGTCGAAACATCTACAAGAACATACAATTTCTTTTATTAAGTTATGCTACATAATTTGCAACAAAAACGCTCACAAATAATGCTTTAGCAATGACTTCTCTTTCGAAAGTGCCAAGTTGGAAAATATAATTGCAATATGCTTCGCGCGGGTCCATACTATGATCATTTCCTATGCAGTATCGATCTGGTGGGGGTTCCATTGCTGCAGACGACCAACTCATGCCCAGGCCACGCATTAGCGGGTAATTTGAGATACTAAATTCCCCTTCGGCATTCGTCCATAATGCCCAAATTCTACTCTCCGCTACTGAAAAATCGGCTAAATCTAATAGAGGTGCGGGTATATTTTTACGATAGCTCAAGCTTAATCCCGATGACGACCCAGCATCTTCGTGTATATCTATGCATACAAATTCCGATCGATTAGCGTATGATAAAAACGCACACACTGAGGTATCGTTTATTTTGCGTAGAACATTGCTTTGAGCTGAAAAAATTAACAATTAATACTGTAAAGTAATACATCTAAATTAAATTTTTAATTTGATATCATTGCTAAACTTACGCCCTTGTGTTCGTTGTTTGTTGTTATCGCGTATACAATCAAAGGAGCAAACACACTGAAAATTATTCGTAGACCACACTCGCAATTGATCGTCTCGGTACAAAGCCAATAAATATATTTGTCCATTGATATAATTGAACACGACTGAGTTGGCATGGTTCGCGTCCGAAACGTCACTTTTACCTCTGTAAGATAATACAATAAAAACAATAGTTTTATTTCTCCAGTTTATATTTTTTAACTACTTACGTGAGGGCGTTTTTTAAATTTGAAAATAGACGAGGCATTATGTTATTTTCCTTCAAGGCCTGAGATGTCGTAGAACCATTTTCGCAATTCATTACGTACAATATAAGCTCAGATTGACACGCTAAAGCAAAGTATGCATCTTCTCCACTGGGCGACAAAAAGCTGGTCGCAGCGTGAGGTACTGCGCTTGATGCGGCATTTTGTGTATCAATAACATAGAAGCTGCTTGGATCACGCACAGAAGAGTTATTAGCTTCGTGAAATATTGAAAATGTTTGTGAATCTTTGAAATCTATTGACGCTCCACCTGTGGCTGATTGAAAATTGCTCGATCCAGTTTTTAAACTAACACTGCTGGCTCCACCATCTGACAAAGTGTCTGGATGTGGGAATTTTATATGATGTAAACTACAAACAGTTGTCACTAGAATAGTGACAAACCGATCTTGCTCGCTTATTGCAACATTTAAAACAGGAGTGTCGGAAAATTTGTACCGAACATTGTTTTTATACAAAGTGAAATCCAAACAAACTTCCGATAGTTCAAGGACATCTTGGTAGGTGTGCCTATGGTGAGAAATGTATAATTATAAGTAATGGTAGCATCGCAACTGTTACATTAGTACCAATAAATAAAGCGATTCCGGTTGTGATTTAGTTGCACATTTTGGTAGCAATATCCGCCTGCCTTTTCCACAACTTTAATATCTTGTAGAGTGCTTTGTGTCGCGCCTAGGGGTATATGAAAAAGGACGTACAAAAAAGTGCATGTTTAATATTTACCAAGTTCTCTTACCAGTATTCAATTGAATCTCGGTCCAATCTTCCTGACAAGAAGTGTCTGGTAAAACTTCTCGATAAAATAAACTTGGACCATCCATTGTTATATCAATATTTGGAATTTTTAACAAATAAATATAAATTTATTTACTTCAATAACTTATTGAATGAATCGCGGTTTAATTTACATTCCTAATACCAATATAACCTCACAGAATATAGCATCGATAATACAGCTTCTAACAAGTAAGCCACTTTCCCAACAGCTGATTTATAACGATTTTGAATTATAAATTTAAACGTAAAAATAAACAAAACTATCATTAATTAATAAAACAGTAATTTTGAATCAAAATTGTCATTAATCTTTAAATTATCCTTGATTGTAAATCAAATTCGCTTCATATGTACCTAGTAATTTATTTTTGGTCGATAAGGTTGTGATAATTAATTTTGAGGACTGGTAACAACATATCAAAAGCAGAGAACGTATATCATAATAAACGTGCACTGCCAAAAGTGGCGGGCAATTACAGATTTTGTTATGGTATTTCTTTTTGTTTTCCTTTGTCACAGAGCAGAGAACGTATAAACATAATTGACAGTTCGCCGATAATCGCCGCACTTATATACGCGCCTTTAGAGTGTGATAGCATTTTCTTACTATTACTTTTTTCTTCAGTTTTTGTTTCACCATTCATAAGTTTTGTATTTTTGCCAAATAATTACTTAGTCAGCCTATTTGGGTAGAATTTCGGAGCATTTGATGCAACAATCAAAAGTCATGCACTTTTGCCGTATATGCCGTACGGAAAAGAATCTTAAATACACAGTCAAAGAGCTCCGGAAATATAGTCAAAAGCGATGTGACGATAATGTAAGCCTTAAAGCCCATCGGAGGCTAGTGTGTGAAAATCTCTGATCTATTGTTTATTGTTTCAGTTACTTTATACTACGCCTACATTGGGCAATATTTGTCACGATTGTGAAGAGCGGCTGCACAATTTTCATAGGTTGAATGAGAATGAAGATAATGAGGAACGGATAATCGTCGATGACGACGAATTATTGTACAATTTATTTTTCGAAAAAGTGGAGCAACACCGCCTAATGAAACGCTTAATGGTAGTTGGAGCAGGCGGTGGTGGAGGTGAATGGAACACCACGAGTTTGCGACAACAAACTTTAGTGGCAGCTACGGCTGGTGTAGCTGTTAACATTGGAGATGAAGTTATTGAAGTGCTGACGTCACGCGAAAACACTCCTTCACCTGCGTTGCCAATATCCTCGACACCAAGGTGCGTTGTGCAGTCGGCTGTAAAAATACGCACCAGCGCTTCCCCCAAAAAGGACATTACTGCCACAACAACCAGAAATGAAAAGTCCACTCTAAATATTACTGCCACAAAAAATACTACCTCAACTAGAATCACTGCCACAACAGAAAGTATAGCTTCAAATGTAACCGATAATTGCACTTCATATAAAGTTTTGGCCGTAATTGATTTGGATGCCGAAGAAGATGTACAAGCAGACAAAGTTCCTACTCTGCTGACACCTCAAAACACATCAGACACAGATGAAGAGGAAATAATTTTTCGGAAGGTTGATCCTGAGAATGACAAATATACACACAAGGATGGGAGAACAAAACAGAAATCTCGAAAAGGAAAATACCAACAAGGCCAGATTAATTTAATTGCCAGTCTAAGTTTGGTCTCAAGTGACAGCGATTCAGATGTTGAAGTTACCGACCCAGATTGCAGTCCAATCAAACAAAAAGACACGACAACTACCAAGGACAATGAGTGTGTAAACACAACTCAACTTTCTCCGCCCTTGAGATGTATAAATAATATTAAAATACCTCCTACAATTTTAGTGGAGAATATTCAACAAGAACGTTTGGAAGCTGTTATTAAATGTCCAGTTTGTCAGACAGATTTCGCCGACAGCCAACGTCTAATACACCACTTGCGTCGAAAGCATCGTTCTTACAATGGAGAAGTTTTGTCGGAGCGTCCCCGTTGCGCACAGGATTCCGCTATGACTATAAGGTTGCGATACATGCAACGTTACATATATTATGAATGCCAGCTGTGTGGTTGCATTGATGCAGTTTTTAAAATGCATAAGCAGCATGTTATGCAAAAGCATGCCGAAGAGTCGAAATCTTTAAAAGATCCAATGATGCTGACTCTTAAATGCCCAGTATGTAAAGAAAAGTGCGGTTCACAACATACAGAACTTTTGCGGCACATGTTGTATTCTCACAAGGCTACAGAATGTAGAGAACACTTTCGGCAAATTACCCAATTGCGAAATTTATTCTCCAATTGTGGTGCAAAGAAGGAAAAGGAGCTAAAACGTACGGCGCGCATATATCAAATCACTACGCGCAAACAATACTTTTTCGAATGCGTTCAATGCCTCAAAATTGTCACCGGTTATTTTAATTATGTCAAACATCAAAACACTCATACTAAATTAGTTCCCATAAAAAGTACAGAAAATCTTGTTTCGGAGACAGATTCAACAACGACAACTTCGTCTTCATCAGAACCTGAATTGAAACGGATAAAACATATTTGCAGCGAAACAAAATCTAAATTTGAAAAGCCAAAACCTATTCTGACCGCAAAAGAACTGAATACCAAACGGAAAGTGTCAGTTCCTCAACCTACTGTTGCCCAGAAAAGTGGTCAACCACAGTCACGGCGAGAGCGAAAATTGACCAAAAAGGCTGTTCAAGCTGCATTGGTTAAAGTTAAAGTGAAGCCACCGCTAAAACAGTTACCGACACAACGATACAAATGCAATTTCTGTGTACAACTATTTAAGGGATATCATCGCTTGAACCTGCATTTACTACGCGCTCATGCTTTTTATGACGGGAATTTGCGCTGTGAAATCTGCATGTTGCGCTTTCTGAACATCAAAGAGTTTGAAGCACACGAGGGAGAACGACACAAATGCAAACAAAAGCGCAAAAGAGTGGCGACTTGCCCAGTCGAGAACAACGAAGTGTTGCCTAAAGAGGGTGACCTAGCAATAAACCCTAAAAGGCAGCGCTTAAATATTGAAAAATTTTTCTTGCCAGAAAATCCGGATATCGGAAAACCGGAAGCTGCAAGTCCAACATGGTTACAAGATTTGCTTGCATTAGCGACGAAAAAGCAAACTCAAATATCCACCACTGCCAACAATAGTAAAAACCATGAGAAATCAATACCAGATTGTACTAATCAATCAATTAGTCTAGAAATGTGTGATAGAGACAAGAAAAATGGTTTTAATAGATTTCCGATGGCTACTACTTCTCACCAGTGCCTTTATTGTAGCCATCTTTTCAGCAGTGTTTCAGAGTTACAATCACACGAAATGAGGCATGTGCAACAACAGGAAGTTAAAATTTTTAAACGCAGTGTAATTAATAATGTAACCTTTACGGCAACCGCAAGATGAGTTATAAGCCAAAAACAGAATATCGTTATGTCTTGAAGTTATTTCACTAAACATTTTTTGGAAACCAGCAATTGTATGTAAAGTGCATTTACACGTTTTCTTTCATAATAATATAAATTTGTCGTTTATTTGAAAATTTTTAATGCTATAAATAATACATACATACATGTATTGCTTTTGCAAATGCCCGCAGTGTAGTGTTACGAAAATGTGTACCTTAAATGTATTAAATTAATTTGCATTATAACTCAGACCCATTTTGTTTATAACCTACGTAACTGCCAGTTTCGTGATAAACACCTACCATCATAATGCTGTATGGATTCAAATGTTGACAAGTCTGTATAATTTCGTAGGATACAATTGTATAAAGTACGTATTTGGAACTACAAATGTAAACCAATGTTAAAAATGTATAGAAATATCGGAGTTTAATTTAAACGATTTTAGTTTCATATAAAAAATTATACATATTTATGTATTTACATTTTTAAGTACATACTTTAAATTCTGACTGTGTATAAAAGCTGATTTCTCATTAGTTGTTTCAATTATTTTTATAAATTCAATTCCAAACATTTGGAAAATAAATTTTGGAAAAATATAAATCGAGTTGAAAATAATAATTCATTGGAGCTTCGATTTTATCTCATTCAAAGAGATCTGCGTAGTGGTACTTTTATAGCTACAGGTAAGTATATTTGTATGTGTAGAGCAATATAGTGCTTTAGCGGCTTCGGTCCTGTGACAGCAATTATAAAAATTGAAAAGTTATACTTGTAATGATCCAGCTGAATGTGTAATTATTACAATCAAATAAATCAATGTGCGATGTGATCATTGAGGGTACTCTTCTTACAATGCCAATGCCCTTCGTCCTTATATTCACACAAATTCATTAAGTCATATCCGGCTGGTATCATTCGTAGCCCATGGAAAGTTGAGTTCACACTTGTAACCTTTAAAATTAACTCTTAAAATTTATTTTGCGATCTTAAGTATAATTTATACATGCCTCTCGATGAGATCGTTGTTTCGACTTAGTTGAGGAAGCGATTTTTAAATTATCATCCTGATTTAGGATAATATCCTATTAAAAATTAAAGATGTGTGCGTATTATTAACTAAAACTCTACATCAGAATCGGTATGATTACCTTGTTAGCAATATTGTATGAATCAGCACCTTTTAATGTCTTTTCTTCCATTTTTCTGGCAATATACTGTTAATTTGGAATTATCATATCATATATGTACCTTCTATGTATAGTAGACGTAAGTCAATATTACCTGTTTTCGAAAGGTGATCAAATATCTAGCATATGAACTAACATCATCTGATATGGGATCCGATTGGTTGTGATCTTCTACCTTTTCCACAAATATAAGATAAAACAATATTATTAATGTATGCTATATATGTATGTATATTACTTCACTCTGGTTGGTAAACTTCTCATTAACTTGCATTTCACATTTACTCAATTCTGTTTTCTGCGTAATATTGTGATATTTAATATTTGACAAATTAGGAGTATTCGCTGTAGAATTTTCTAATTGCAAATACCTAATTGAGCTAACTTCACTTTCGATAGTGTCCATGTTTCTATTAGATTTTATATTTTCAGCGGTCATTTCAAAGTCTACGCCATCGGGCAGAGGCGGCGCTGATATTTGACCATTACCATATTTTTCTACTCTAGATTTTGAAAGTATACCAGCAAGTTGGATTTGCTGTGTTGCCTCACCGTTGTCCATTTTCTCTAAATCTTGTTCATGCTGATCGTATTTTTCAATTGAAACATAATCAATCATATCATCTTCTGCTGGCAGAAACTCATTAGTTGTATCAAGGAATTCAGTCTCCTGTTCAGATTTAAATCGATTCCGCTCATACCAATCGTCTACTTTTTTCTTTGCTTTAATGTCACATGTCATTTCTAGACATTTACTTGGATTATGTGTTATGCCAACAACACCGGGGAATATATAAACTCGATTTGTATAAAATTTGCTGTTACCGTTATTGCACATCCATGGCGCAATTTTGGTGGTCGTTAACTTTTTACATTCATCTCTGAAATTCGATTCAGTTTCAGTTGCCAAATGTAAGGATATCAAATGATCCTTTACACGATATTTAATGCCCATATTAGTTCTGATTATTAACTCCCCCCAATCTTGACTGTCTAAAGTAAATTCTTTAAGAAATACAATACATTCTGAATCATTTATAGCTTTTTCAATGATATTATACGCACGTTGGTGCCATTTCTTTGATATTTTCTTCATCATTGTATTCTTCATATAAAACTCTTCAGCTGGGACGACATTTGCCAAACCACCGCAACGAATGTAATCAACAGGTGTAGTCAATTTATTGGGTAACCGAAAAATTTGATCTGCTTTTGTTTGAAAAGGAAACCCATAATCTATAGCCCACATTATGAATTGACCTTCTTTTACATTTTTTCCAAAACTAGCTATATGATCTACGCGAGCACGTATTAATTTATTCCAAGCGAGAAATTTCACAGCTACCAGAGCATTTAATTCCGGACGCCGTATTGCCTGTGCACAACCTTGGCGGTTGTTGTAGAATTCGCCAAGCTCCTTTTCAATTTGATGTATAGTGCGATAATCATCGCTACAAGCATCAATTTTGTGATACCAAAATAGATGAGGATTGATGAAATGTGTTATGGATATGATTTCTTTTTGCCTTTCTATTTTAGCCATATTTAATATAAATAAATCGTTGTTCAGTTAGTTTAAAATATTAACGTAAAAACTCCACAAACTTTTACCATGGAACTTTTATCTGTGCTTTTACTCTCGTGAAAAGTACAGTTATAAAATCTCGATACGTTAAATATTTTTGAAAATCGATATATTTGATATTAAAATACAATAATCGATTAATTTAGGTACATCAAACAAATTGGATAAAAGATTTAATAAATGGCTGACCAATTGTATATACATATTTAGTGATACGAACTATTCCTTGATTAAATAAAAAATAAATTTTCGAAAAGGCCCATTTAAATAAAGCTTTCCTCGCTTTCCGTGACAGTTAATACTGAAACCAGAGAACTTAAAAGAGCTTGATATCAACATGCTTGTTTGACTCCATATTGATGTACATATGTATGTACGTACATATGTGCATAGATAAATTATTGATAATTTTGTTTAATTTAATTTGTAATAATTGAAATTAGAAAATTAATTAAAAAAGTAATATATAATTTTTTTGTATAATCTTTCGCATTTTATCAAAGTAGTATTTGTGCAAAAAAAAAAATTAAATAAAATTATTCGTCATAAAAATCGTTTATATCATCGTACAAAAAATAATCACGCATACATATGTATGGCATTAGTATTTTTTGTTCAAAGTATTTAGTATTTCCCTTTATGCTGACAGATACGTATTTCTGCCAGTGAGCGTTGTTAAAAGTTCTCATTTCTGCTCAATAGTAGGGAATAAATTAGAAAATTGGAAACTCTCTGTTCAAGGTAAAACTAAGCAAAAGTTCTATGTGAATTGGCCATAACTGTTTGACAATTTCAGTGATAATTTATCAATGCTGATTTAATGCATTCCTGTATTTAGCAGCTGTTTAAGGGTGAACTGTGCGCATCGTGTTTTTATTTTGACTTTTATTCTTCATACGTATATTATTAATAAATACCTCATATAAACAAAATATAACAATGAAAGTTAAAATGATAAGTAGAAATCCGGACCAATATGTCCGCGAAACCAAATTACAGAATCATAGAAGTATGTGAGAAGTGGAAAATACATATCGTTTTGTTAACAAAAGTTACTTATTTCAGTGCCAAGGAATTTCGATCCTGAATTGCATCCCATGGAAACGGCTCGAGAGTACGTTCGTGCGTTAAATGCCACCAAGTTAGAACGTGTATTTGCCAAACCCTTCGTAGGTAATTTAAGTGGTCATCGAGATGGTGTTGCATGCTTCGGAAAGCATCCAAAGCATCTTTCTACATTTGTCACTGGTGCATATGATGGCGAGATTCGAATTTGGGATTTAGCGAATCGTACTAGTATACGAAATTTTGTTGCTCATGATGGTTTCGTTCGAGGTATTGTTTACTCGGTAAATGGTGATCGTTTTTTCACAGTTGGTGATGACAAAACTATTAAAGTATGGAAGAATGATATGCCGGATGTGGATGAAGAGGAAGAACCAGTAAATACTATTTTGTCACGAACAATTCTTACCGGCATTTCTCATCATAGAAATGAGTCGATTTATGCAACATGTGGAGAGGTCTGTGCTATTTGGGATGAAAATCGGAATGATCCATTAAAAACTCTTAAATGGGGTGTAGACACATTACATTCAGTTGCATTTAATCAAGTTGAAACATCCCTACTTTCGTGCTGCGCCAGCGATAGAAGCATTATACTTTATGACCAACGAGAAGCTCTGCCATTGCGTAAAATCGTTTTAACCATGAAAAGCAATAAACTTGCTTGGAACCCAATGGAAGCATTCAATTTCACTGTTGCCAATGAGGACTGCAAGTAAGTGCTATATATCCTTATTTATTTTGTATAAGATACTACTTGTTCATTATTACTTGCAGCCTCTATACGTTCGATACACGCCAGCTTAAAAACCCTCTCAAAATTCACTTTGATCACGTATCTGCAGTAACGGATGTGGACTATTCACCCACCGGCAAAGAATTCGTTTCAGGAAGTTACGATAAAACTATACGTATTTACAATGTACATCATAGTCATTCGAGGGAAATTTACCATACAAAACGTATGCAGCATGTGGTTTGCATTGCTTGGTCCCTAGATAATCGTTATATATTCTCCGGTTCTGATGAAATGAACATACGCATGTGGAAGTCAAATGCGTCCGAGAAATTGGGTGTGATAAGACCACGCGAACGTGTCGCTTTCAACTATCAAGAGAAATTAAAAGAGAAATTTGCCGCACACCCCCAAATAAAGCGTATTGCGCGTCATCGCCAAGTGCCGAAACACGTGTTGAACGCACAACGCAAAATGCGCGCTATCAAGGACAAAGAAAAGGTGAAGGAGGCAAACGTTCGAAAGCACTCCAAACCCGGAAAAGTACCGTTTGTATCAGAAAAGACAAAGCCGGTATTGCGGGAAGATGTTTAACGATTTCTTATATGTTATTTTCGGTTTTGACATACATATATGTATATCATTCATGTAAAATATAAAAAAAATATACACATTTATTTTAAATGTATATGTAAGTGTGCAGTAAACTATAACCTGAAGTATTTTTCAAAAATACAAGTATAATCAATATATTTCACAAGTATAAAACTGTCACAGCTGCACCGTTGATTAGGATCGATTCTCCGTCCGCGCAAAACTATTTTCTCGAAATTCCAAAACAAAATTTTAAAGGAGTCTATTCCGTTATTACCAGTTAATTTTTAAATGTATCCCCTTATAGACGTATGTATATCTTACGTATTTTAAGGTAATCATTATATTATCTTCACTAAAATCAGTACTAGAATCGCGCCTTCTTCCTCTACAACAGCAACAATTCAAATAGAATATTTGGGATAACCCTGTATATGGTATGTACATATGTAATCGAAGAACCAAGCGAGTGGAATGTTGAGCCGGAGCGGAGGTCGGGTATATTAGATGTGCAATTGAGAGGCAAAACAGCTGTGTCATGATACAAACACAGTTATATATTTGTGCATATATAATTTATATTGAGTACAAATTTAATACTCGTCCAACAACACCTTGTTTAATTGCATCTACACTTTCGGAATACTTTCTATCTACATATACATACATAAATATGCACTCGTACTGCTCTCTATAGCAAACGACGTATCAAGCCGCATATCTCCCGGTGTTTATAGTTTTTGTCGTTTGTAGTCGTTTCAAGTTTTAGCAATCAAGAATTTTAATCGACTAGTGTAGTAGCTGTAGTCACATTTGATAGCTCAGAAGCTGGTCCACGTTCGAGTAGAGACGTCGTGTTTTCGTTTGGTGCATTGAACTCGTTTCTGTTCCTTATTTTTTTCTGAATAAAGGCACTTTTTTACATAATACATATAATACTTGTACAAAATGAGATTAGAATAAATTAACACAAAGCAATAGTTCGTTTATTGTACGTAAATCGTGTGCCTAAGGCGAAAAATACTGTATCTCAATCACTTGAACTTAATAAGCGATTTATATTTGTTCATATTGAACCGGAATGACATTGAGCAATCAATGACAATTTTTATAAAAAATAAAACTGTTAAACAAAATTTCAGGTGTACTAAATGAAAACAATTAAAACAAGTCCATTAAGAGTGGAGAAATAAATTGGAAAATAGGCAAAAATCGAAATTAAACAACAAAGTATCAACTGCTCAGCGAAGCGCATATTTTTATCATAGCGAAAAAACAACAAGAGCAAGTTTATGGTGAGGGTGTGTATGAGTTAAATTGAATTGACAGAAGGACGTCTTAAATAATAGTGCAGTGTGCCGGCGGCGGAAGTGCTCTTGAACTTCATGTTTGCACTAAAATACCAACAGAGTGAGAAGAGAATTTTTGAAAAGTCGTGAGAGCGGTAGAAATTTACTAAAGTGAGTAGGAAAAAGCTTTCACAACCGCATTCATTGCTGTGCAATACGAAGAGAAATTCCACGTTGTCAAGGATATTGAATTTCGAGGATTAAAACGCCAAACAACAACAATACGTATGGATGCACTAAGTGATTTATTGGCTCCTTATAGTGATGCCATCGCAAAAGTTGCCGGAACGATTACAACTTTTCAATTTCTGTCCGGTGTATTTTTGCTAAACGATATACGCAAAAGGGGGCGTAGTGATGGATATCCTCCAGAACCATTTCTCGGTGGTGTCGTACTGTAAGTAATACAGCTGAACGGATTTTTGTTGTAAGTTCATTAACATTGTTATAGTAAATAAGTAAGATATCCCAGTCATAGAAAGACGAATAGAAAAGGAAGACAACAAACATGTGTATGTATGTCAAATGTGCATATGTGCAGGTGTTTGTAAGGAAATACTCTGTATACCTTTCGGATGGACATCGTAAACAAATATGTATAGCTATGCATTTGTATGTATGTACAAATATAGTATCTACTATTGAGTGGAGCAGTATATGTATGGTACATATATAGTTACATCAAGTTCGAAATCAGAATTACGTTTGTTGCTGAAAGAGTTAGGTTCGACCTCTAATATAAGATAAGGTAGCACTCCTCAGACCGATTGGGAGGAGCCGAGAATGCCTTGCCACGTAAGCCTCTGCACCAAGGCAAGGTGCCTGTCATTCCCAGAGGGAGGACGTCACTCATTCGTAACTGAATACAAAAATGTATATAGAATTTTTTTGTTTGAAGGTTGATTCGTCATATTCATTACTGCTTTGTAATTATCAGGCTTTCGAATAATTCCCACAATTATTACATATATTAGCAAGTTGTTAGGTGCCTGTATTTACATTCAAATTAAATTAATATTTAATTATTATTTTAATTATTACCATTACTATTAATATTATTTTAGAATAATCGGTCTTTTGTGCAGCCGACAACCTTTCAAGTCCGGAGATACTTAGACGAGAGTATCTATGCAAACTTATCGGCCCTCCAATTGCGCTATGATCAGGAACTCTCATAGGACCTATTACGAAAAAGCTCAGAAATTGAGCATTCATAAACTAGACTCGAATACACGCTTATTGCCTTAATGGCAACTATCTGACTGCAACTATATCCTGAAACTTAGGTTTATTGGAATTATCCGCGAATAATACTCTGATTATACTGCCAATCTCTTCCAACGGTTCCGTCTCGATTATCTGTTTCAAAAGTAAGCACAAGGAGTCAAAAATGTTAAGATTTTACTCCAAATAGTGCTTACATAATAACTTAATAACATACTGATAAGCCTTGCTAGAATTACGTTTACGTATGTATGTATGTATATACTTGTATATGGTTCATTAAAGTCGAAATGAGTTGATAAGAAATAGGTAAAAATCGTAATCGCAACATACGTGTTGTTCTATGAAAATGATAATTCTATCATTCTCGGTTTTTCCATATGAAATATAGCGCAAGTGATATGAGAGACATAAGTTCGTAAGTTTCCGTTACTACATATTTAAATTAAAACATACATACGCACAAACATTATAAAATATATTATATACATATGTACATAGTAGTTGTAATTACTTCGTTTAAGTATTAATTTGTAATTTAAAAAACGCATACTGTACATTATAGTCTGCATATTTATTGTATTAATGGGGCATGCATATCTACATACCATATAAATACCACCTGTTGATTTTATACTTCTGTGAGAGCCGGCTTGTATCACTAGCCTTTTGTTACATACATATGTATGTATGTACATAAATAAAAGTTGATACGTAAACATAAGTTGATGCAAATTATCTTCAACCACTTATAACACTCACTGTGACTGCGTGACATTTTGATTATCTTTTCGACCATCATCCACTCGACCTCTAATAATAATGTATACCCTAAAAATGCTCGCAAATATAAGTATGATTAATTATAGAAAAAATGTATGTAATTACATACATACATATATGGAAAGATTACAAACCAATGCAAATTTGATTACGTGCACATGCAATTTACGTATTTCCGGTACAGTATACATATTTGGCCCTATGCTCCTTGCAGAAAAAACAGGAACAAATATATACTATTTTGTCCTTATTATAACTGTAATAATAAACGTGTCTGCTAATGTATGAGTTAATATTAATGAAAAAAATGTAAATTTAATTATATTTCTCTTAATATACGCATTTATTAATATGATGGTTTATAATTATTTTTTGCAGTTCGGTTCTTACTTTAAAGATGGGCACATTAATGGGCGATTCTGCTACTATTATGGTTAATATTCTCGGCTTTGCCATCAACGTCGTTTTCTTGACTGCATTCTATTGGTACTCTTCGAATGAGCTTAAAATGAAAATATGGTCGAAAATTGGTATTGCTGGAGCTTTCACAGTAGCCTGTTTAGCGTATGCGGCTTTTGAAGATCCGAAGAAAATTGAATTCCGTTTTGGTTTGCTCATCACTGGGATATTAGTATTTTTAGTTGGATCGCCACTATTACATCTTAATAAAATAATTGAAAAGAAAAGTACAGAGGGTATGCCATTCCCAATTATATTGACTGGTACACTAGTAGCTGGGTCGTGGGCGTTGTATGCGATTTCTATCCGTAATTTCGTGATGGCTGTAAGTATAATGTATTACTATATTACTTTTAATTTTTACTGTAATTAACATCGTGAATTCCAGACTAACCTAACTTAATCTAACATCGTAAATTGTATGTTATTATTTTTTAGTATCAAAATTTATTCATATTGGCGTTGAGCTCTATACAGTTATCGTTATTCGCCATTTACCCGATCTCTCCTGCAGTGTCGGAGTCTTCGGTAAAGCATTCGCCATCCACATTGGAACACAAAAAATCCAAAAACAAGACGTCAAGCCCTTCGGCAACTAGTGTTGATAGCAAGAAGAAAAATTGATTATGAGTCTATGTAACGGAGGCTGTGACCGCGCCTACACATTGATGTTGATGAAAAAAAAAGTGAAGTTGATATTGAAAATGTCTTCTTCAAATAGATATATTTAATTCAGTTTACAATAATATGCTTGTGCTTTTAACAATCTAATTGCTAAGGCGCATTCTACTTAATATGCATTACTTGTTCTTCCAAATTTGCACCAAAAGCAAAACAATTTATTAATAAATTTATACACTTCGATTGTAATTTTTGACAATAATACAAAACTTCCAAGTACACTTAAAGTAAATCGTTAAATTTATTAAGTATTTTAATGTAAAATAACAAATGTTTGTATTATGTAAATTGTATTTGGTTTGTAAATAAAAAAAATATATTGCTTAATTTTTAAATAATTTACACATTATTTTGAGCTTTGAGCCTAAGAAACCAAGAAAAATCGGATTTATTAGACTACTGTTGCAACAAATACACAAGAGGAATTGATAAAAAAAAAATCGAGTTTTACTTATTTTTTAGTAGTAATGTTATTTTCTTTTAGGAATAATTCTTTTAATTTTGTAGTTCGTATTTATTATGGGTTTTATTTTGTATTTGTTTTACAAATAAAAGAAAACGATAATTTCACTCATTAGTCTTAGCATTTCAGACTTGTACGATTGGCACAGATGAATTGTAATGTTCACCCAGACTGTACATATGCCGGTGGTACGTTATTAATAAATTAGGCCCAGAAAATTCGTCAGCTCCTTGTACAGTCGGTGGTCCTTCTGCCTGTAGCACTTCAATGGGTACTTTAAGTATGGACGATAAGGCTTTTAGTTCGATTTGTCCTCCCCATGCTGGTGTAGTATGTAATAATTCGCAGTAGTTTTCAAACTCAGCATCAGTAAGTAAATCGCCAGTTTTTGGATTAGTCATATAACAAATCAATGAATCCTTATGAGCGCGTATATAGTTAGCAGTTTCCTTACGCAGTTCTTGCACGCTGTAGGTAGGTAAGCCCTTTTGCGACAGCTGATGCCGTACCGCATTGTAGAGGCAATCGCCATCGGAAGAAATACTATGAAGTGTTAACTGCCGTTCTAACAATTTTGATTGTATAGCACGCCCTTCAATAGCTTTTGGTGCGAACTTTGCTTCCTCAGCTGCAACCCGTATATCTTCCTCTCTTTGTCGGGCTTCACGCGCTTTCTTATCACGTCGTTTTTGTGCTTTAGTAACACGTTGGGTAGTACCGTTGGCATCTTCTTCATCATCACCATTGCACAAGACGTCATCGACGTTTTTTTGTTTCTCATTTGGATTCTCGTTTTGGCGTTGTTGTTGGGTTTGTTTCTCCTTTTCTACCTCGACTAATTCAGTGGCTTGCTTTTTCTCCAAGTCACTCTCCATGCGAGCAACCTCCTCCATTATCTCTTTACGTTTCTTTTTATCATTCTTTGGTGCAGACTTTTTTAGTGCTTGTATTTTAGCCTGCAAATCTTTGCGTTCTCGGCGATGCCTACTATGTAGATCATCCATCACAATACCTGACAAGCCTTCAGATAACTCAGATTCAGCATTTGATTCTGACATTATATATGTATAAATGTAATGACTTTAACAAAAAAAAAGTAACATTAATATATATGTATATATATATAAATTATTGTGGGATATGTACATATACTATACGATTTTGGATATCTTACGATTCAGCTCTTTATGCCAATTCGTTGATTTCACAAAATATATTACCTGCTGTTAAGGTATACACGAAATAAATTTACTTCTTCTCAATTAAAAGTTTGCAACAATTATTTGTTAATGCTAAAAGTTTCCGAAGACCCAACCTAAATGTTTATATTATTGTAAAACAATTGTGTAGTTGGCAATGTGGTAATTTATAACACTGCCTTATCGATCATTTCAAACAGCTGTTCGGCGTGTTTATATATAAAAATATAATAATTTGAGTTTTAAATAAATAAATTAAAGAAAACAATGGAAATTGATTCAAATATGGAAAAGTCGAGTAATTCGGATAATGCTGAGGTGATTCTGTGCCTACCAGGACAACGTTTATGTCTTTCAGAAGAGACTACCGTAGCTGGTCAGGGAACTTATGAACGTGGCGGTTATATTTATGCTACATTGGCTGGAAGCGTGCAAGTTAAAAAAAAGGATAAGGTAATAAGTTTTTTAAAAATGTAATAATAATAATTTGTTAAATTCCTGCAATTAGTGTAAATACATAGAAGTAAAGTGTGCTGGTAGCCAGACCATTGTTCCAGTTGCGGGCGATGTAATAACAGCGCGTGTTCTGCAAGTAAATCAACGCTTTGCCAAATGCTCTATAATATGCATTGGGGATCACATACTTGAACGTACATATCGAGGAATAGTACGTAAAGAAGATGTACGTGCTACTGAAAAAGATAGAGTTGAAATGTATAAATCATTCCGTCCAGGAGATGTCATACTAGCTCGAGTGGTAATTTAATTTTATATTCATCTTCATAATTTTTAACAATAAATTAACTCTTTCCATATTTTTTAGTTACCTCAAACTGAGCTGTCGTGTTACCAATTAAGTACTGCAGAAAACGAATTGGGTGTAGTAGTTGCGACGTCTAGCGACAGTGGCGCGAATGGCCCACCAATGGTACCTGTCAGTTGGGCAGAAATGCAATGTCCAAACACGCTAGTAAAGGAGCCACGGAAAGTAGCGAAAATTGTCGCGGAAAGTTCTTTAAAAACTGAGAAATTATTTTAGGATTTAAATGAAAATTTTCTGCGTAATAATTTTAGTACAAAAAATCTGCTAATATATCAAAAACAAAACAATGATTTATGAGTAACATTGCTTTTTATCCGACTCTTCCTGCTGGTGAAACGAAGATTTCCAGTTTCAATTAATATTACCAAAGTTGATACAGAAATTTAAATTCCAAATAATTACAATTTAAAACTTATTGTGTATCAGATATGTTATTTTAAGCTTTATTTTGTGAAGTTAGTGTTTTTGGTAAACATGAATTAATCTGCTTCGGCTTTGAAATTTTCCTTTTTTAAATCGTATTCCATTTGGAAGGGGTACACCAAATTCTCACTTAAAGTCGCCTTCGCTCGATCATAAATATGTGTTACTCGATTTTTGTCACCAAATGAACATTCAAAACGCACATATTCCATCCAAACCGATGTGTTTTCCTTACCAAACTGCAATACCATGTTTTCATATACCTGTCGCCGACGCTCAGTGTCCTTTTTAGTCTGTAAACAAAAATATGGTGTTATTGGATTTCTTTGAATTTAATAAGCCACATTAAACAGCTACAATTTGAGACTTACCCTTAAAATAACTTGGGATTCCAATTCAGCCATTTTTTCATGCAATTTTAGACAGGGTGGCGGCAATTGACTTAAATGGTCGTATTCCTTGCGCACTTTATCGAAAGGAGAATTAATCATGCAAAACTCCAGATATTGAGCACGAAATATGCCAAATTTTGGATTAGTCATTTTAATAGCATCACGGTACAACCGTTCAAGGGTCGAACGGTCTTCGTCATATCGGGTTTTAAAGTATTGAATAGCTAACTCGAATATTGGTCCAGACTTATCTCCTAGGTCCTTAACTGCTTTAGCATGAATTTTTTCAACCATGTCCGAATCGTTTTGACTTATATAGTACGAAATCCACACCTCATACAATTTCCCTGATTTGTATGCAGAACACACTTCACTTAGAATGGACTCAGCGATTTTCCTTCCGGTTTCAGTCACGATTAATAAACGCAAAAATACACAATAATGCTCCTCACTCATTAAACCAGATTCGTGCCCCATTTTTAGAGCCATTGCCAAGTATTTACGTCTTGTTTTCAAATCTGTTTCATTATTTTCATTTATGATCAACATTGCGCTAATATAATCGTGACATATTGTTCGGGTTTTCAGCTGCGTAAGATAAGTATCTCATTATAAAAGAATATATATTTTGTGAGAACCCACACTTACCGTTTTTAAGGCAGTTTCGTATACCTTAGCACATAATTCAATACGTTGTCTCATTGGGCGATCTTTGAACACCGGCTTTGTCAAATTTGAGCCATTGTCGGCAGAGTCCAGATTATCAATTTCTGAAGCAACAACGTTATCATGTTCATTTCTTTTAGCATGCTCCTTTATATCACTCAGGGCAAAACCACGTAACTCACGCTGTGCCAAAAAATCCCACAATTTTTCTTGTGATGGATAACGTTCCACTAGGTCTTCAATAATCTTTAATTGTAAGGGTGCTGTAATATTTATAAATGGAGGTTCTTCACAACGTCGCACCAAACCAATAAAAAATTGCAAATTAGTTATAGTTGTTCGACTATTTCTATATACACATTCTGCTTGTCTTAAGGCGCTCTCGTAATCGAGTCTCTGACCACCTTCAATCCGTTTATGTGCAACAAACACTAATAAATCAAATAATGTTTTGGTAAGTATCTCCTCATTGGGGTGTCGCTGTAACCCTCTTGTACAAATGTCTTGCCATATAAAATTTTCGCTATCATTGCTGAAAGCCCATAGTGCTGCTTCCACCCAGTTTTTTTCATTTGATCCGTGATACTAAAGAAAAGGAAATAAATTAAATTACTAGAGTAGGTTATTTCTTAGATTTTTTATTCTTACAGTAAGCATTTTTTCATAGATGCCAAGCACTTGCGCTGGATTCGAATGTTTACTGAACTCTATGAAGTGATTCCACAAGCCTTCAGCCTCCGGGAATTTTTGAAGACACTCCCGATACAATTTTGTAATGTGATTTATAAGATTATTCTTCAGACCTCTCAACTCAGTTTTAAAGCTGGCTTCCTTGCGCTCAACCAATCGATACATCTTACGTTCAAGTATAATATATTCCACATAAGTACGACTGTTGACACTCTTTTGTGTAAGTTGTAGAGCGAAGGATTCCCTCTTCTGTTTGTAATCACTATAAGTTACATGTTAATTGAAAATAGGGAACTTAAATTATACGGTGTGTTTACCTGATTTCAGAGTCGTCACAGATATTGTATCTCTTTAACTGTTCGTACACGGGCAAAGCGCGCTCCTGTAATTCCTGAACAATCTCCATTGAAAAATGTTTATTTTATGTTACTGTCGTAATTGTATTATAAATTTTTGCAATTAGAAAAACTAGAAGTATAAGTAATAATGTTTATCTTTCGAGTACATATGTACATTCAGAAGTAAATAAGAATGCTAAAGTTAGTTGCGGTTCAATCTAAAACACGTTGTGTTAATCAGCTGTTAATCCGATACAAAAAAAAAATTATTTATATTTTTTAATGTTTTTATTTTTTTAATATATTATCTTTTTAACTCGTTGATATTTGAGTGATTACACAAAATTTTGAAATAACAGGAAAAGAATACCTGTAAAGTACGAATATTAAAGCTTTAATTAAATTTTTAGACGTATTAAAAGATTCTGAACACTTTTCTTTAATATTATTGAAGACATATCCTGAACAGTCTGTATTTTTTGAAATAAAGTTCCTAATTTAAAGGAGTTAGCGTGTAAATATAGCATCACTTCACCGGTAAGGTAGTTTGTTATTATTTATCATTTGACAATTGTAGGCTTATCAATTTACGAACTGTCAGCGAAAGCAACCGTCTCGCCTCTCTCTAATAATGCATTTGCATCCCTTACACCCCTTTAATCTAAATGCTTATTCATTTGACTGTTGCTATTTTGCACCTCATACGGAAGATTTTTGCATTTCATAAATACCTTCAGTTTATTGTTTTTTGGTGTTTTAGTTACAATTTAGCTTTACATTTTCGATCTTTCCCTTTTAAACATCGTACAAAAGTGTGTAAAAGTTAAAAAAATATTAGTATTGGTGAATTAATAGCTCGTTTGGCATCAACAGAGAAGAATGTCAGAGAAGCAGAAAGGTGACACGTCACGTCCAACCACTGCGTCTGCTGTGGCAGCTGGTCCAGGTTTGGCTACAATTCCGACAGCAAGTGCTGTTGTAAAAAACCCACTTTTGAGCGCGTCTGTTACGGGTCTAACATTTGATGACTTTCCTAATAAACCGTTACTATTACCGCCAGTGGCTATTAGTCGAGGTAAGTGTTTTCTTTACCTTAAACTTAAGCACTTGTTGCGCATAGATGTGTGATGTGTTACCAATAGAATAAGTTTAGGAAATCTTAAGGTTTGTGCTTTATTTCGTTTAAAAGTGGATACAAACTTATGTACATACATATTTAAAATAATTTCTCGATTTTCACATTCTACTCCATACTACGTGTGGAGTGAGAGCGGTACGTGGGTAGATCGAGTGAAACTTGACGTCTCCGACAACACCAAACAATTGCCCAAATCAACAGAATTATTAAAAGAAGCAGCAGCAATGCACCTAGCACTATTGCAGCTATAGAAGCTTCAGTGAGCACAAGATCGCGTACATCTATGTTGTATGAGCGTTGATTGCCCGTGACATCGAATGCTGTAAGTGCAACTTTTGGTTCGCAACATGTTGCTATATACGTAGCTTTCAAGGGTTCTATAGAGGCAACAGTGTAACTATTCCGGTACAGTAGTCCATTGGAAGGCACGGTTTGCAAACGTAATATGCCTGATTGGCAATCTTGGGCGGTTATGTCTAATGTCCAAAAGCGTTCCGCGCAATCAGTTGACTGTGCATTAACGTTATCACAACGACTGCCAAAAGTCCACGAAATGGAAGGTGCCGTGGTATCCTGTACGAAAAGTACAATGCTTAGAACATTCTATTCTATGTATATATGCATAATATATGTGCCTACCTGTACGTCAACTGTAGTTGAGCTGACCACTTTCAAGTTAAGAGATAGACTAGTCGTACCGCCACCATGACAAGTGAATGTAATTTTATCTGTGGTTCCCTGAGGGGTGCCATTAGGTATTAAAACGGTTACGATAACTTTGGCCATTTCACCAGCGCTCAAAAATATGCTTTGCGGATTGAGGCGCAAAAGAAAACGTCTTTCGTCAATCACCTGTATGTTGTGATATACAGCTTCGGTGCGGGTATTAGTCACTTCAAACTCCAGCGTTCCCAACATACCTGGAGCCAGAAGTAGTTGTGATTGTAGGCCCATTTCGATTTTAGTTGTGTCGCGTTGCAATAAAGTGCCTGTTGTTCCCCGGGGCATACCGTTATATTTATAATTTACACTAACGATTGATGTAGGCACTCCAGTATTGTTTGTTGGTGTGTCCGGTCGATTGCTATGTATTTCGTTGTCGGAGAATGTCTCCACTTCATCCTTCGGAAATGTAACATCCGAATTACCTGTTATTGCTGTTTCAGCTGATGCTGCTTGTAGTTCTACATTGCTACCAAAACGTAAATCACTGTGTGTTTTTAGAGCTTTCACAGGAGAGGTTTCCGATAAACTATTTAAGTGCGCTCCATATAAACTTACAGGATAAGTGTTTCGATCACTCACGAAATACGGATCGAAGCGTTTAATGAGATCATCTGAAAATTATGACATTGTAAAGTATAACTTATAAACTAAGTCAAAAAGGAGTCGGTTATTTACTGATGCTAAGTACTTCACATCCTTAATCTCAATGAGGAAAAAGTTTAGCTTCCTGCCTTTAAGGTTATAAGCTTAAATTATGATTATTTCAATTGCAGTCATTGATATACACATAAAAATTGAACTTGCGCATTTCACTTATTTCAGTCATAATTATTAATGTATTTTTATGGAAGTTACGTACATCCTTATCTCAATTTTTTGAATATTAATTAAACAACACTACGTCATTGTAAAGTGGTTAATTCTAGCGTATTTTGAAATACCTATGGGCTTGTGCTTGTAATAAATAATAATTATCTCTGATAATAATAATCCGATTACATAGGAAATAAATTGACGTCGCTGTAAACGTAACTGTATGATGCTTCCAAACTGTTTTGTAGTCTTATTTATTTGGTTATTTTCTAGTTCTGTAGCAATTTATTTTAATTCTAATATAATCTACATACATATATTTCCTCTTTTATTTCAAAATTTCCACACTGTCCTCATTTAATCATTTCAATCCTGGGTGAATATGTTATCAATGCATATTGAAATATAACATGCTTATCATAAATTCCGACAAGTCTTCTCGGATGAGTTTTCAATGCTAAATTAGTACACATATGTATGTATGTACTGAAATAAATACTTAAACATTTATATTTATGTATGCAGTGTTATGCACCAGTTGCGTCAGTTCAACCGACTACTTTTATTCAAACTTATAGATTCCTAATCTTCCACAAATGTGTGCGTTCTTCATTTGAATTTAGTATAATTTTATACCTTGTGCGTGAAGGAATAACGGGTATCATACGCTCCATACAAACAAACTTCCTAACTTTGGGATGTTACTTACCCAAAAAAAGATCTGATTTACGTTCGGCGCGCACAAATACACTGTACTCATCGTTTAAGGATTCCGGTACCACTTTCAATTTGTAAACAGTGGCCTTACGTAGTTTATTAAGAGGAACGTAAGCATCTAATCGACTGTCATCCGCTCCAAGTGTAAGAACAAGTGACCTGAACTTCACAAGCTTTCTTAAGTTAATATCTGTTGTGAGCGAGAAAAGATTTAAAACAATTTCAGTTGTATAGTCCGAAGATGACAAAAAGTGTGAGTCAATCAAAAATTAAAAGTTATTACAGTTGTCTCATATTTATTTTAAGTAAAGATGTTGGAATTACGAATCTTGTTATTTGTTAATTATTGTGTCGTAGTTTATTTGTGAAAAATACATTTTTAATATATTTACATAATATATTACTAAATTGAGTGCATAATTAGAAAACGTGAATTTAAAATATTGTTTATAACCCAATTCTGAAATTCTATGAAAAAAATATACTAATTTATTGAATTACCAAACAAAACTCCAAAAGTTTTATCTGGCAACTTTAACTAACGAGTCAGCTGTTACTGACATATGCGTTTATTTTGCAGTAAACAGCTGTTAGTAAATTCTCAAACAGCAAAAACAAGTTGAAGAGATTTCTTTCGTGTTTTGTGTTATAACTTTTTTTGTGTGAATCGTGGACAAAGTAAACAGTGATATATGAAGCACTTCAAAGTAGATGAAAACAATCAAAAATAATGTCATAGGGTAAAATAGCATATTGAACCCGCATATCTTGCAAAAAACTCGAGGTTAGACAAGGAGTTGCTAACCGAAATTAGGTAAGGGAAGCATAATTTATTAAAGGTGTTCCAATCAATATACTACGTAGTTTATGTCTACATAAATTGTATGTAATGCCGGGCTCTTACCGCATTATATATTGTTCATATGTCTATATACATATTATTATGTGCATATTAATTATTGCGATAGTGCAGCGTGAATGAATTGAACCAGTAAATTTTTATTTAGTCGTACCAAAAATGATTGCTGTCAACTTGATTTTATATATGTACACGCATTCATACATATATGTACATATACATGTGTGAATGCAGTTGCCTTTTTTTTACTTCCGTTATATGCATGTTGCTGGAGTATAAAATACATTTTTTAAATATATTAAATTTTTTTAATTTTTATCGATTTAATAAACTTTTTCGATTGTTTAAATAGAAAAAATGGTAATTTTTCAATTAAATGTAGTATTTTTCAATTAATTGTGTTATTACACCCCACTGTAAAGGATACAAAAGTTCGATAAGGACCTTCTGTGTTAGATGTCGTTATAGGTAGGCTAAGGTTTAGACCAGCACTAAACGTTTTATATTAACTCAACAGATATACATTTAATTAATTATATTAAAATTGCCAGAATAATTTACGAATTCGTTAACTAGTCAGTTTTTCAAATATAACAAATTGTTTTTAAATTCTTTACCCAAAATTGAATGCGATTTCGCATATTAGATTCACGTTGAAGAATAGTGTCACTTTTGGCAAATATAATGAATTTGAAAAAATCTCTCCAAATACAGTGTAAAAATAATATAATGTGATGTTAAGAGCAATGAGTCATATGTGTAATACAAATATTATTTTAAATTGAGTAATGTTTTTATCTGAAACATTTAGTGCGTACATATGTGTATGTGAATTCACTGATATATGTGCATATATAAATGCATCGGGTGAGCTTTTAATGTGTGATTGCTGTTATATTATGAATTTATATGTAGTTAAACGGGACAAAGTGCAAATATATTTATATACAAAGTGCAGATATACATACATACAAGTATGTACTTAGTCCATTGTTGCGAACATACAGACAAACAAATTTTGTACTTACGTTTGACAGACAAAACAGCTTAAAATTGAAGCATTTGTATTTGTTAAGCACTTAAACTAATATTTAGTGGTTATAATAAAAAAAAACATTTATTATTATTTCACTAATGACTTACATAAAAAAATTATATTATTTATTTATTTATTAATTTTCACTTAAAAAACTAAACACAGATTATACGTTTAACATTTATAAAAATATATAATGTAGCTTTCTACGTTATGCGTAATATACATTGGTATATAATTGTTTTCTACATATATACATATGTAAATATATATGCACTATGTACATATGTACTATGTATGTATATGCATATTATTTATATATACGGTTTGTACTACGATATAAAATACTACCATAAAATAATAGTTTCTATTAATTTCGACATATTTAACAGTAATGACACACAACAGAACATACGAACGTAAATATAAAAATTATAAAACAGTTCAGTATGAATTATATTGTATATGTTATATGTAAATAAATAGACATATTTACATTTGACGGTTATAAGGTAGCTCGAAATAATAAACACACTTAATAACTAATGTTAATCAAAGTCATAATTTACACGCACACTAGTGTAGCTGGCGCACAGTGTAACGAAATGTTCATTTCAGCAGCACTTCTTAACACTATCTGCTTTTTGTTTTTAATTTTTATGTTTTAAAATAAATATATATTTGTATATTTAATAAGTTTAACAGTATATTATGTATACCGATTACATTAAAGCTTAACATTGTTATGGTGAAATGCTTTCATTTAAAGCTCCAATTCACAGTTTACAATTTTCTGGAAGTGTATATTAGTAGTGACATATTGGACAAACAGGACAAGGACACAATAGAAGTTCAACAAACCATTTTCATGTTTATTGTGCTGTTTTTAGTAGCCGCATAGTGTTATTGCTTAAGGAATTAAAGCGCTGCAATAGATTGCTTCTCTAAACATAAGTATTGTATATTAGTCAACTTGAACGTATTTGATATTTGTATAAATTAGTTATTGTTGTTGTTGTGCAAATTTGTGTAAACGTGCGTGTATGTGATGTATGTGTTAACTAACCACCGTTGGGCGTCTCCAGCGTAGCTGACCGCATGGGTGCATCGATTTTGACGTGTAAGCTGGAAAGGGTCGTATCGACCGGTATATCCACTTCCTGTATGCCCACATAGGCGTCAGCGACCAGTGTTAGCTGAGTGCGAGAAAATAAATAGTATTTGATTAAATTGTTATTACTTTTTATTCTAAAATAAACCGAATATGTGCGCTCAAAGTCAAGATTATTAAAAATTGTCAACCCGTACAATTTGTTCATGAGTTAATGGTTGCCACCCTTCACTTTGTTGACGTTCCATAACCTGGTTTCCAATGAATGCAAAAAAAAGTAGTTAAAAAAGTATATATTTTCCATGGCATTCATTTCGTTTTCATTATATGCTATATGTATATAGATATATACATATAGGTATGTATATTCCACGCTTTTGAGTTCGCATATCATATTCTGCGCTTTGCCAATGCAATATAAAACAAGAAAAAACATTAACTTCAGCTGCAGCAAAGCTATCTATAATACCCTTCACATAAAGAAAGATTGTTTTTGTTCGTTCAGTTTGTATGGCAGCTATATGCTATAGTCGTCCAATATCCGCGATTTCCACAAATGAGCAGATATTTGAAGAGCAAAGGAAGTATGCAAAATTTTACATTGATATCTCGAAAACTGAGCGACTAGCTCGCATATATATAGACGGACAGACAGACGTATAGGGCTAAATTGACTCAGCTTGTCACAGTCTTCGACGTTTCCTGCTGGCTGTTATAAACTACGTGGCAAACTGAATATACCCTGTTCAGGGTATAAAAATATACAAAATATGCATGTGTGTATAGCCAAGCGCTCGCTTTCAATTCGTTTGCAAAGCGTTTTCCACCAACTTCATGGTGCGTTGATTTTCCAAATGACAACGTATTTAATTACCTGTGTTTTTTACCTCAAATTTCGCTTTTATATCGCTTGACCTAATGCTAGGTTTACACCGTCGTCATTCAGTGTTGTGTTGGTTAAACCTCGATTTCGCACCCTTGTGCCATTCACCAGCATTTTTAATTGCTAATTTAGTTTTTATGTAAAGGTTTTTGATTATAACTTCACCAATTATGCACTATTTTTATTAATTTATCGTAAATAGAAATTTTGAACCTGAAAATTCTTAAGTCTAAATAAATGCCAATGCAATCGGTTCTTCAAAGTAAATCTATTTTCTTTGAATCGAAAACTGTACTTATGAAGCCTTTGGCAAAGACAACAACACAATTTTTGCGATCTATCAAAGTTGGGTACACATGCTCGAGGGAGCCAATTTCTAAAATTACTATAAATACCACAACAACAAAACTGCCATAATTACTACAATTGTAATGCTACAAATTTTTATATTTTTTTAAATCAAATTTAAAATGAAGAGTCATCTGCTGTGAAAATACTTGTCACTTGCATTTCATTAAAGTTTTTTGTAAAATTTGCCACTGTTCAGTGACTTGAACCATTTCGCGCTTGCCATCAAAACTGCATAACTAACTAGCTGAGTGCGCAACCCCAACCACAACCGCAAGCAGCCGGCAATCTGTAGCAGCAGTGGCAGCGCTATTAATGGCTAACAGTGGTATTTAGCATTTAAACAAGTTTTTAGCTTTTAGTTGTGATTTTCTGCCATTTTCACTATGCTGCGCACAACAACAATGTTTATAATAAATATTGCATTTGAAAACTTGTACTTGTTTTGTAATTGGAAAAGAAAAACTACACTACTTAGCAACTAAGGTACTGCAGCAGCAGCGGCGAGCGTTGTATAAGCAATTATAATTACAAGTCGCAATTAAATTTGCGCACCGCTTGACAAGAAGTGGAAAAAGAAAAATATAACAAAAAAAAACACGATGGCACATTTGTTAACTCGTTTGCGATCAATCAATCAATTACCCGCTACACTCTACTCGTATAGCGGTACATAGACCGCTGAATGAGAGTGGGGAAAGGCGCTCCTTTTGTGACATGTCTCATATATGCGTGTGTGTGTGTGTGTATGTGTTAGAGAAATGTGCGCTTACCGTGCTGCCCTCCAGCTCCTGCGAGTTTTCGCTACCCACCAGATGCAGTACTTCGCCACCCGAACGTATGGCCACCTCGCCGAGTATGCCGCCTACGGCCTCTTGTGTCTCGTTTTCACTAGCCGAACGCTCACCGTACCAGATGAGGTAGAGCTGTAGCATTAAAGCGATTCAACGTAAAATTTTAAATAAATGTTAAATTTGAAATTAAAAAAAAAATCAAAAACAAAATACTTTGCTCGCTTACTAACCCTAATGCGCTTTTTTAGCAGCGTTATGGCGGCATCTTGCACCAGTTCGGTGTGCGGCGGTATCGATGCGGTTGATATGAAGACCGCGCTGTCGTATGGCACCAATTCCGAGGCATGCACAATGCCGACAAACGAATTGCCACCATCTTTCACCTTGATGCTGTTCAAACCGGCCAGAAATTGGCGCGTATTATTGAAGCTATAGGCGGCCGGTATACCTAGAAAATAATTTTATATTAATTTACGATTGTTTCAAATTATTCTGCAGACTTAAATAATAATTAATATGTCCAGCAGCATACAGCAACTCAGTTAAGTATTGCTTAAGCATAGTTAAAGGAGTTGAAGAAAGCGTATGTTATAACGTAACCTCACTTTTCGGTAGGTAGTGTGTAAAAATATTCACAAACGCTTCCACGCATTTGAATATGATAGATGATCACCCCATTAGCTAAATTTTTGTGATTTTTGATTGTAAAATTTGTATTGTTTTATTTTTATGACTCATAGCAAACATTACATTGCAGTTTCAAAGGAAAATTTATCAGCGGAA